TAAATTCTACTTATTCTTACTACTAGCGATACTAGATTCTAACGTATTTTATCTAGGGCGTATAGTAAGGGTTCTTAATAGTATAATAGTACCTTAGTTATCGGCGAATATAAGTGTAGGTTTATTACTTGTTTAAATACCGAGTTCCTAGAGTAATTATCGAAGCTAAATAGCTTCTTTTCTAGCTAAAGTTTAACTAAATAACTTAGCCTTATAAGTTAATAGAGCTATAGTTTATTATTATTTTAAGCTCTATAATATAGCTTTACTTCCGAGATTAAATAAGTATTCTAATATCGATTAGCTAGTATTTTTATCATTTACTTAACTAATAATTATATATTCTTAGACTTATATATAGCGTTCTTCGAAAATAAGTATAAGGTTTAATATACCTTTAAGATATTAGAATAACTCTTAGAGCGCTTATTCGTAGGTTGTTACTAGTTTATAAGAGTAGCGACTAAGGACTAAGATAGAATATATTATATCTAGATAGATTCTTAGTATTATATATATAATACTACTAATTTTTTACTAGTACTTTATAATTACTTCTAGGTCTACGTTTATCCTAGGAGAGGCTAGCTTAGGGTAGTAGTTTAGGTCTATTAGTAAAATAGATAGATTATAATTACTTATACTAGATTAATCTAATATTCGCTTAATATATACCCTCTAATCTAATTAAATAATCTTATTTTTCTAGTCCCGAGTTATTCTAATTCCTAGGTAGTATAATATAAGCCTTATATCTATTATATTAAAGTATTATATAAGTAAAGCTTTTAGTATAAATATATATTTTAGGTTAGGTTCTATTATTAGTATATTATTAACGTATATTATAAAGAGCGTTTAATTATATTTAAAAACGCTAGGGTTAGAGAAAAGTAGTTTAAAACTAAGTTCTTATAGTTTATTTATAAGCGTTTTATACTAGATTTAGAAAGATTATTTTAGTTTATATAATATTTTAACTAATTTATATACCTTAGTATTATTTATTTTAAAACTAGTAGGTTATTTTATATATATTTCTTCTTTAACCTTATTATATAAACAGGTAGTTTTTGCGTCTATTTACTTAATCTCTAAGTTCTCTAAGGCTATAAGAGTAAAAAGAGCCTTATATATTATAGGCTTTATAACTAATATAAAAGTTTATTATAATTAATACCTTCTTATTAAGTAAATTCTTATACTACCTAGTAAGCTTTATATTATATAATTCCTCTTAATAAATCTCGCTTAATGTGACAGACGTGCTTCAGGTAGAACTCAGAACAATTAACACTCTATTCTTAGGACAAAAGACGAGGAAAGAAGGAGAGCTCAAGAGAGCTGGGAACTAAATACAGGTCGTGCGCGCTAGCGCCTCGCTAAGCGAGCATGTGACATCCAGCCCTCGTGACCATAACCGTCACACTTAATTTATATACTTATTATTTACTAAGGGCTTTTTAATTTAGTAGTAATAGAAATAAGTTCTAGGTATTATTAGTAATAAGCGAGTTATATTTATCTTTTATTACTTTTATCTAGTAAGTTAATTCGAGAGATAATATAGCGTTTCTATAGGTTATTAGTTCCTTAGGTTCTTATATCTTTATATCTAGGAGTAAAACCTACGAATTTAGCTTATCTTTAAATACCTCTCTTTTATATTAAGAGAAATTATATATTCGAGTTTTATAGTTACTATATAAATTATATAATAGCTAAAAAACTTTTATATTTATTAACTCTATATTATTAAGGGTCTTATTAAAGCTCTTGTTAGTTCCTTTAGAATCTAAGTCTTTAGGTATATTAATTATATCTTACTTAATTAGTATAGTTTCTACTATAAGTTTAGTATCTTAGGGAGAATTCGTAGGGTATAATTCTTATAATTCTTTTAAATTACTTCTAAATATAAGTAGAGTATACTTTTTAGATAAGAACTAAACGTTAGTATAGTAAATAATATAGCCTTTATAAAGGATTTGGTATATATAATCTCTTTTATAACCTACTATAATATTCTACTTAGCTTTACTTTTAAGTTTTAATATCTTATATTAAAAGCCTTTCTAAAATAAGTAAGTTATTCTAAATAGTACTAGGTATTTAAGGTTAGGTTTTATACTAGTTTATACCTTATAGGGGGTCTTTTTAAGTAAAATAATAAATAATCTATTTCGAAGGTAATTCGCTATTTATATAGCTTTAGTCTAATATCGTTTATTAAGGGTACTATCTAATAATATTAATAAGGCCTTATTTATAATAGTTTAAACTAGTCTTTCTACTATACTATTCTATTATTATAAGGTAGTTATAGTATATTCTTTATATATATCTACCTCTTTAGCCTAGTTATTATAAAGCTTACTACTTTACTCCTTTACTAGATTATACTATATTCGAGAGATAGTATAGTTACTATATTTATAGTATAGTTTATAGTATTAAAATATAAGTAGTATCTAATCTTTTATTTAGATATACTCTACTTCTAAAGTTTTATTTTTATCTTCTATAATAATAATAATATATTATTTTTCTTATAGCCCTAGGATTCGTAAAGGGCTAGTAATATTAATATAGATTAGGTTTATTTTATACTACCCTAGCTTTATTATACTAGTATAAGAGTTATTAGTATACTTACCTTTAATATATAACTTATATAAAGTAGTATAAGAGAGCGCTAAATATAACGTGCATGTATAGCGAACCGGCCAAACAAGCGAACCGGTGTAACGAATACTCAAACTGGCTAACTAAACTTGGCTGGGTGTTCGCTGGTTGGTATGCTATGATAAGAAGAAGACTATCGGGTTGTTCACTTGGAAGTGAACTCGTTACTTGTATCAAAGATGTCAAACTAATATGATAAGATTGATAACTAAGTTGATCACGAAGCTCCTATCTAATGGCAGACGTGCCAGTCTTATATAGAACCTTCGTCCCCGTGGATCTGGGGATCCCCCAGATCCTTTGCCTGGATCTTGGGATCCTCAAGATCCCAAGATCCATCACGTGACTACATACAAATGAAATCCTTGGATCGCTTAGCTAGTCTAGCCGATCCCTATTCGCTATAAGAGCATGATAGTGCTTAACCTGTCAGGACGCCGCCTGGTCTTCACTCGTCACATGCTAACACGTGATTCGTGACATTATAGTTCTTTTAGAGTTACGCTAATATAACCTAGGGAGCTAGTAAAGGTTTACTAAAGTAAGTAAGAAGATTATTATAAATTCCTATAGATATTATTTTAATAATAAACCCTATTATAGCCTTCTTTTTAGCCTTCTAGATAGTACTTAAATTAGGTTATTATAGTAGAAGTATAAGCGTTATATATTATTCTATATCTTACCTATAAAGCGTACTATATAGATCCTTGTTTTATTATAAAAAGTCCGATTTATTCTTAAGCTTATAGATCGAATCTATGTTTTTAACATAGTAGAAGTAGGTAAAAGGTAGGTAGAATTATCTTCGAAAATATATAGAAAATAGTACTCTTAGATAGTACTATAAATAAGGGCTAGATATCTCGGTTTGATATATATTCGTTAAGTATATTCGTATTCGTATTATAGATTATTTAATTTAGATAAATTAGCTTTGTTATTTAAAGGGATAATATAATAGAATATACGTTCGTAAACGCTAGGTAATATAGCACGGATACGGTATATAGTTAAAATTAGCCTTTGTACTAAAACGCTTATAACTATATATAGTAGTGTTCTATATAAAACACTATCTTTATTCTAAAGATAGTAGATATTTAAGTAGTTAAAATTCTGTTTTCGGTACCTAAACAAAGGGTACGATTTATTACTTGTTTGTAGCGGTAAGCCGGGCTTATAACCTAATAAAATATAGTGTCACGAATCACGTGTTAGCATGTGACGAGTGAAGACCAGGCGGCGTCCTGACAGGTTAAGCACTATCATGCTCTTATAGCGAATAGGGATCGGCTAGACTAGCTAAGCGATCCAAGGATTTCATTATAGTCACGTGACGGATCTTTGGATCTGGATGGATCTTGGGGATCCTAGGATCCAACCAGATCCATGAGCAAGAAGGTTCTATATAACACTGGCATGTCTGCCATTGGATAGGAGCTTCGTGCTCAACTTAGTTATCAACTTAGTTATCAATCTTATCATATTAGTTTGACATCTTTGATACAAGTAATGGATGGATCTTGGGGATCCTAGGATCCAACCAGATCCATGAGCAAGAAGGTTCTATATAACACTGGCATGTCTGCCATTGGATAGGAGCTTCGTGCTCAACTTAGTTATCAACTTAGTTATCAATCTTATCATATTAGTTTGACATCTTTGATACAAGTAACGAGTTCACTTCCAAGTGAACAACCCGATAGTCTTCTTCTTATCATAGCATGCCAACCAGCGAACACCCAGCCAAGTTTAGTTAGCCAGTTTGAGTATTCGTTACATATAGTAAATAAGAAGCTGGTTAAGTGCTTGATTATTCTACTATGGATGTAGCTAGTTTATACATATCTAGTTAACAAAGAGTCTTTAATAAAGTAGGCTTAATGCAGTGGGACGGATTACGTAATTTCAACAAGGTTACCATCTAATTTCCCAACATCCTTACTACGAGTACAGCTACGCTGTAGATTTCTCTTGTGTAACAGCCCTCCTAATCTCCTTGTATACCTTCTTAAACATCTCTGTCTCTCGCAGGTATGTATATTTTGCAAATTCAAACTCGAAATTTTCTAGGCCTCTAAGTCCCATTAACCCTTCACTTTTCCGTAATTCACTAATGACGTGGTCGAGATCCCGAATATCTGGTGGAATATTGCCAGGTGTAAACTCGATAACGATAAAAAGACTTCGTAACGAACTCATTTTTCGCGACATCGGCCATGTGGATTTGAGAAAAAGGGCGTTTCCCACACAGTCGTATTTTGTGCAACCAAGGACTATAGAACGGACAGCGTTAAGATGTAGGGGATTAATTACTGAGAGGTACTACCGTACTTCATTATTAATCTCGATTTTGAGGTATGTGCGAATACAAAGAGACTCACATTGAGCATTTGATCCGAATTAGGGAAACGAAACTTTCCATATCGATAGAGGAACCCAGATCCGTAAGTATCGACGTAGGATTGACGACAGAGAGTGTATAAGGCGACCATAGCTATAATTTGAGTAAGAATAATATACACTTCTTTACTATACACTTATAAAGATACTCACTGTTGCCTAGCTCCTTGCTGCTGTTATTTGTGAATTTATCCCGAGCCTTTCGAGGTACAATGTAGCCGGTAGTTGTCTTGATGACGTTCTTCCAAATTTTCTCACGGATCTCTGCTGGCAATTTGAAGAAGGTGGCTTTTTGTGGAACAATCTTTCTGGCCCATTCCCGAGACTACAGTTTTTGGGTGTATTAGCCTTTTGTTTTGAATTAACGATAAGACGAAAAACATACGTGAATGCCAATTTCGGGAGCTGCAACTTCTCTGACAGGGACCTTTTTCCTGAAACCAAAAGGTTCTCTTTTAGTTGCCTTTGATATTGCACTAGCACTCGAGGTCTACTCATCAAATCAGTGAGTGGCCTTTATAATGTGAGTGAAAGGAGTGGTAATGACCATGAAAGCGTTGAAGCCAGGATACTTTCGATGAACCTCTGTTGGAAGTTTCTTTCCTTTGGCTTGGGGCATTTCTCCTATTTTGAGATCTCGGTACTTGCAATATGTTGTTGTGATATTGGCTAATGCTGAAAATAAATACTGGCAGCGAGCGAGGTGTCGTTCATTAATGAATGGCTGAGCGAAAGTTCCAAATACTTCCAGATAGATCGAATCTTTGAAACGACGCCGTGTCTTCACCTAACAGATATTCTGAAATATAGTTTCAAAATGGTTTACCGGTAGTCAGTGTGGGGTTGAGCTTTTATGTGCAACACGGCCATAGAACGAACAAGTCTGAGACGGGCGAGATTGTTCTCTCCATTTCTTGAATGCCCATGAATGCGCCATTTCACTCAATTTGGATACTTACCGTGGGATTTAATTGCCCAAAACTGTCAATAGCCATCCTTCTTTTCAGGAAGATTTATTGACATTCGTTTTCCCCCTAGATGTAAGCGAGACACCCCTAAATCCCTTGTCAAATATCGGTAATTTAGATCTGCTCTAAAGTTCTTGCTGAGAGGTCTTTTTCTCGCCTCAAACACGCAGATTAGGGTTTAAATCTTATGTGATATGCTCCAGAAATAACAGGTATGGAGCTTAACATGCATAAGAATGGAACGACTCTACGTTCTGACCCAGAATTTGCTGCATCAGGCATAACAACAAAGTGAATAAACTCAAGTGACTGGTTGTAGTTTTGATCAGACTATTTATGATATATTAGCCTAGAGATGATTCTTCCGGGTTGTGCTACTACATTCAAATGATTGTAAAGAATGATCTGGACCTAAAAAGTAAGGATTTTGAGAACACTCAAGAATGTTGATTTTGCGATTTCAAATGAGTAAACAAAGAAAAGAGAAAAGTCCCCACAAAATATTGGTCTTTCTCATCCCTATTTTGTTTACTTTGCAGGACATTCTAAGCATTTGCAATAGTACGAGATATTGCGGCAAGATTGTGCAAGATACGAGCTCCTAGTAAGAGGAGTCTCTTGAGAAAGTGAGTCACAGATGGAGATGAGGCCAAGATAAAGTTGGAAATAAAGCACCAATATAATATGCATTTAGAACAATCTTTTTCATGTACTAACAGACCATTAAAGATTAAAGGCAGAGATTCAAGAGGCCATAGAGATTGTTGAGCGTTTAAAGCGGTGGGGTTCCCTAGAAGTATATCATGGAATGGTCAGAACTTCTCGAGACAAGTTACACCAGGGTTGTTGATTTCCAAGGTCTGCTTTCGCAAATTTTCAAGCCTGAAATTGGCCAGAAGATAGGGGGTAATGAGGAGAACTCAGAAAAAAGTGGAAGGTGCGATTGTGACGATGGAGCGAGGCCTTCAAGGAAGGAGCCTGAGCTGAGGGAAAGGGAACCTGACCATGAAAAGGTCCTTTTAGAGGAGGGTACGCGCAGTCGAGACATGGTCGTTCGTTCCCGTTGGAGGTAAGTCAAGGTTGGAGCCAGAGTTCGTGTCTGCCTGAGAGCGAAGGCGTTATGAGGTCGAGGGGGAGGCCAGAATCAAGACTATCATCATAATGGGGGAAGGAGCGAGCTTCTCGAGACAACCCTAACGCATATTATTGAAAATGGGCATCTATATATCCCCTTGCTCTTCCCCATCCCCTATCAAATTCAAGTTTTGATGCGACAACTCAATGTTTCTCGCTCACAGTGAATTCTTCGCGGATGCCTCACGATCGAGGTCCTGAACAGCCGAAAGTCTGGTTACGGCACAGGAGATGCAGCATTATATGAAACAGGTATTATAACCGAGGGCTTGTTTGATTGGACAGAGATCTGTTGGCTTTCCTGATCAGTATCTGGTTAGTGCTTATGGTGGATTGTTGGTTACTTAGCGACGTTCTTCTAGGTTGCATATGAAGACCTTTTTACTCTACTCGATCCATCAAAGATCAGATCAATTCTTTAAAACAAAACTTTATTTTCGTGGAAATTCCTTCTTCATCCGCCCTGGGTGTAATGGCATCCAAAAGTAGCTCAGAGCCAGCTCACCCAGCGCCTCATGCTGTCCACCACGAATGGCGAACTGCACAGAATAGTGCTAGCTACCTTCTCCCCAAAATAAATTCAATGAGTGAACAGAACTCGAAACTCAAGCTTTTAGATGTTGGCGCTGGCTCTGGTAGTATTTCAGCAACTCTTGCTCAACTCATCCCCGATGGCCACATCACGGCGATCGACATCAATCCAGATATCTTGCCACTAGCACGAGCAGTAGCTGAGATGGTGGGAGTCACTAACATCAACTTCGAGCAGGGTGATGCCCACAAACTCTCATATGCCGACGAAAGCTTCGATATCACCATTTGTCATCAGATATTATTTCACTTGAAAGAACCCTGGATTGTTCTTCGCGAGATGATGGGAGTGACGAAGGCCGGCGGAATCGTAGGAGCAAGGGAGGGAGATCTTGACACTGAGTGCATTTGGCCCGAGTTACCTGGTCTACTAAGCTTCCATAACTTTGCTGCTTCTATGATGAAGGATGGAGGAACCTCAACTGCTGGTCGACAACTGCTGGTCGACAACTGCTGCCGTGGGCTCTCAAAGCGGGTGTGGCTCGAGAAAATATCACCTTGAGTTATGGCACATGGTCCTTCAGTACCTCAGAGGATAAAAAAACGTGGTGTAAGTCACTGCAAGTTTTAGATGGCTGAGTTAAACACTGATATTTGCCAAAGCCCAGGGAATTATAAATATGTGTAGAAATGGACGGATAAGAGAAGGAGCGCTTAAATCCAAGAGAATAACGGAAGATGGCCTGGATGAGATCATCAAGGACTATGAAGAGTGGTCAAGAAGGGAAGACGCAAGCATTGCTATGATGCAGGGAGAAATCATCATCCACAAATATGCGAGAGTTCCATGTGGTGCAGCAGGGAATTTTCGATATGGACTTTGAAACCCCGAAGGATTTCATACACGCGGCCTAGCTTTCAAACTTTGAAGCAAACTTACAGAGGTGGTGTGTTATACAATCTTGCGTGCATATCCAAACAAAAATGTACCAATCATGACGTGGTACCATGCAGTCACCATACATGAATTTGTGGTCGCATTGTCTGCGTCCTACTTGGTGTAACCTCCATGACATCCTTTCCTATGTACACAGCCTGCCATGAATATTCACACACCCCTTAACCAAACCTTCGCCAAGCTCAGCCTCCTGGCCTTCTACGACCGTATGTTCTCCGTCAATCGAGGCTTTGTGCTGTGGTTATACGCCATAGGTGGGGTTCAAGTTTCGTGGTGTATAGCACTGATCCTTGTTTGGATTATCGAGTGTCGTCCTACGGAAACTGCCTTTCTCTTGTCCAACATAGACAAGTGCTTCAATAGTTGGGTCCTATATGTAGCGGGTGATCCTATCAACTCCTTAATCGATTTTGTGATGGCCGGGTTGGCTGTTTGGATGTAAATAAGATAAATATGTCAAGATGTGCAAAGTTGAAGGTAAGCCTTCTATTTGCCGTTGGTGGCTTGTGAGTAAAACCCGTCATGTCCATTCTTGCGAGCTTCTAATAAAACCTTCTCTAGTTCTGGACTTATTGGGATTATCAAGACTACACGGGCGCGTTACACTTATGGTAAAGACCTACTCTCAGTTTCTCGTCTATCCGTTTCCAGAATTAGATACTGACACTTCGGCCGATGGTCTTGGAATATTCTAGTTGGAATATTGCTCAACAAGCTACTAGCATTCTCTGCTGTTGCGCTCCGTGTTATAAGTTGATGCTACGGGAACTAAATATCTTTCGGATAATGGGATCAGCTCTGTTTAATGTCAGCCGATGGAAATCTTTGATAGGTAGTAGGACCAGAGACTCTGGTGCAGCGGAAAGTGTATAATAAATTTAGCCGGGGTAGACACGTTGAGAGGAAATCAAATTGATGGAACTTCCAATAACGAATAACAACAACAAGTGCAATCCCCGAACTCTTCCAACACTAAATTACAAGCGACTTGATGAAAGAAAGTACGCCCCCTTGGAATGACGGTGTCGTCCCAGAAAGCGATTGTGATACGAATCTTTTGGACAAGGGACATAGGAAAGGAGTGTTTCTTTCTTTTGACGATAAGCCCAAGATTTAATCAAAACCCTGTGTATGATACTACAGTACGAAGGCCAGCTAGTTCAGACGCCCTGGTAATGAAATATCATCACGTTGGGTGATTTGGGGAGGTTTGAGGTGTGAAGAACAATTTTAAGGTGAACAGTTATTGCCAAGCATACGACTCTCCAGGGAATGTAGTACGAGACTTGAAATCCTCGCTTAGAGTCACAATTTATATTCACGCCCCTTACGCTTTATTTTTGATTGCATACCTTGATGGGTATGGCGGACATGTGAATAACAACAATTCCAATCCAAACGCCACGTCACTTAGGAGCACTGTAAACTATTAAGCCTCCTTTTCTTCTCATATCCCCAGACCTTTCTCCACACGGACAACACCCAGTCAAGAATACTTTCTACACCACCGTTGCATACATCTTCAAGATCACCAAAACCCTCAAATTCTTCCCGGCCAATCTGCCCATTCATACACCCAAGATGAACCAAAAGAGCCCCCAACAAAAACAGAAACCCACCACCCCGACCTATGGCAATCTAAAGCCTGGCGACATCTCCCTTACTCTAGCCAGAACTGGCGCTCTACCAACATCATTAAGCCCAACAAAGAAAAACAAGGCGAGCTCCTCAAGTCAGTTGGCGGCTGGAGATGCGAAGAAGGGGACTTCGGAGGCGGCACAGTCTGAGAAGACCAAGGATGAGAAACGAGCATGAATTAAAGAGACTCTGGCCGGAATTTCTTCATCGCTAGGTACATGCTGAAGTTCAGACATCTTCTAGGGGCCGGATATGGATATGAATTTCATTTTTGGGAAAAGTCTGGCTTTTTGTTTCGCTTATTTCCAGCATACATTTGTATTGTGTTCTTTCTCGAGATAAGTGGATTGGGGATAGCAAGTGTAGCAAACGACAAGATAATACATACTATTTTTACAAATTGCGGCTAATCTGATGCTCTCTTTCATTCACCTGCGAAAACTTTTCTGACAGTAGACTGTAAGAAGTAGTTCGCGTGATGAATATGAAATAGCTGTGGGTTCAAGATGTGATTGTTTGAGTAGGTAAGTAAGTGGGAGTTTAGGTCTCTCAAATAGTCCCCAAGTATGCGATTCCATACTAGGTGCTTAGCATTAATCACTCAAGAGGAGGATGTCTAAATTAGAATAATTCTGGTGATGAATGTTCTCTTTGATTCCACGATGCTACTTTGCTCTATCAAGCTTTGCCCTCCTTCTCAACCTTTTTATCTCCGCATCTCGTTTAGCCCGATTCCTGTCCGCATCCCGAGCTCGCAGTATCTTTGCTCTCCTCATGATTTGTATCTTGTCAGCTTGACGTCCATCCCCATCACGCTCTGCCTCTCGCAAAGCGTCATCTTCCTCGGTCAAATCATGGTCATTCGAAGGGAGGCGAAATTTCCACCATCCTTCAGCCCCTCCAGCAATCTCCTCCATCATTTCATCCCAACATCCCTCTCCAAGATCAAGACAGCACCAAGTAATATATGTTTCCTCCCAGGGGACGCGCGCTTTATTATACTTTTCACAAGAGCCACCGTCCTTGCCATCAATACTATGTTCCTGATTCTCTCCCAGAACAAAAGTCCCACTTTCAATTCCTGCAGAATCAAGAATCACGAACAAGTTTGTGGTGATTCCTTGGTATCCAGCCTTACTGAGTTTAATCATATATGCTTGTCGCTATAATATCCTAGTGAATGTACTCGGTGGTACGGACTACCTGGCCTAGGCTGGTCCTGCCTATATTATAGCGGTACGACTTCTATACCTTTAACTCGGTGTGCAACAATAACAGGAATAGTCTAATACTAAGGTTTAGCCTCTTCCTGTATTGCACCTCATATTTGACGATAAGTCAAACCAACAATGCTTCGACATCTTCGACAGATGCGCCCTTCCACGCATTTTCGAATCCAGGGTCTATTGGAGCGGCGGTTGCATCTGTGACCCTGTCATCCAAAGGAATACTGCGATCTCTTGAATTCTTGCTGGTCATCAGTCGGAAGGAGTCATAGCTTCCGTACTCAGTGTCTCGGAGGTAGAGGAGAGCTCAGTTCACGAGCTTGTGGCCTGCCTCGGGTGCAGTGACGAAAAGAAGTCCGGTACTCATGATTTGTGATGTGAGCAGAGTCGATTTCACAGGTGTGTTGGTTGTTCTTTGATTTTTTCCGAATGGGAAATTCGGTGGACTTATAAGCTTCAAAGCTTGTATCGTGGTGATGCACTATTACGTAGTTGTAGGCTTATCCTGGTGCCCCTTTTTAGGCATACAAAACCTGCCTAGAGGAACCTACCATACCTGAAGAAAGACTCAAGAATTTTTCAACAGATGGCGAAAGATATATCACATGCCATGGCAGATGTAGGGTATGCTATTTGTGTCGTCTCGCGAAACCCTTTTCGCTTATGGTTGCAGGCACCAACAAACCGACCAACCAACCAGGAAAGAAACCTTAACCCCTCTCCTTTCCTCACACCCCCAAAAAACCCCCAAAATATCTCCAAAAAATCCAACTCCCATCTAAAGAGCGCAGCGGACCTAAAACCAGACAAACTGAGTTTTATATTATTATTTAGCGTATAAGGACTATATGATTTTACAAGGCTAGTACAGTGAACCTTTGGGCATTTTTGCACTGCACCACTACACCATTGCAGTTGCCTAGGGTACCACCAACAGGTGTATAATTGGGGGATTTGCTGGAGGGCGGGTTATCTTAGATTATAAACGCGTGACTGCAGTAACATTCACTCCAAAAAGGCACAAGAGTTGATTCTAGAACCTCAGCTTGGAGATACCTGAGCCTCTATATGTCCTTTATTCACGTACTTTTAGTGCACCAAATTGAAATCCACTACCTGGTCTCTGCCACTTCTCACTTGTCCAGCTAATTACTGTACTTTGAGATCCCTTTTGAAATGAAGATGCAAGTAGTACCCAGGCCACTTCGTTTCTTCGACTTCACAGACAACGTCAAAAAAGCCAATGAGAACAAACTACGAACCTAGAGAAACAGCCAAGAAAAGTTCTGACAGGAGATACTCAAAAATATGAGCGAGGACCAAAAGTGATATAAGAATATTTCCAAAGACCTCGCGGATATATCAGCCGCTTGTCCGCACTCTACAGACAGCGGCAACTTACTAGCAGCAAAGCCTCCAAAAATCCCGCCTGAGGAAGGAAACAGGGGGAGCCAGAAATTTGTCGCAAGGGATTTTGAGAAGTCAAGGATAAACGTAGCGGTAGCCAGAAAGTATTGAACAGTCAAGACCCATTTGATGCACGTCATGTTCCCAAAGAGCACAGAAAGCAGCCGATTCATCCATCTTTAAGGAACTACGTGTTCGAAACTGGGAGTGCAATATTTGGTACAGCTAGCGATTCCTTTTTATCTCAGTGCAAACTATGATAGAAAGGGTATGTGTGCTTCAAATAAGTTGGCCGTGGATGATTCTCAGGATCTCTTCACACGCTTTGAGGGCTGGAAATATTTCATCTATCTCAACTCTGACGTCGGGGTTTATTAACCGATGTGCAATTGACACTCGGGGTAGTTGGAGACATAATTTGAAGGGATTCCTGGATAATAATAGTTAGGCATGACTAGCGTGTGAACGAGCTAATTAACTACTTCAGTAGCGGTAAGTAGTCCCTATAAAAATGTAGTTAAAGTACTAGGCTACTAGCTAAAAGGTTATTTACCTATAGTAGGAACTTATAAATAAGAGATATATAGGAAAACATTATATCACCATACAGATTCAAGTAAAAATACACCAAAGGACTTCGAACTAGTGAGAGTAGAGCTCCTGATATAAAAAGAACTGGGCATCCCTAAGCCTAGCCAAGGGGCTCGCGTAAGCTACCTGACAACGTAATAGATTACCCCCTCACTTCCCTCCTCAAACGTAACCATAGGAGTGCTAGTAAGAACTAGCCCCTTGAGTCGAAAGAGGGAACAATCAGATTTCGAAATCTCAAAACACAATATTTTTAGTCGCAAAAACTGTACAACCAACGCGTCTGAATCCCCCTTGTCCCGGCAAAAGGTCAATTTCATCAACAGAAAATGGGATTTTCTTACACTCTTCACGGCCGTCGATAACACAACCAAAAAGGAAATAATTAGTAGAAGAATTCGTTGAAATTGCGAATGCTTCGACGACCTCGTCAGGTTACGTTGTAAGATTGAAATAACTCTTGGGTTTAATGCACTGGTAATGTGGAGGTACTACTTTCACGGCAGATGGACAGTATAGTCCATATACAACAGCAAGGAGGAAGCCGCTTCTACCACTTCGGGTTCGTAATATAACCAAGTCGCCACTTTTCGCTATAAAACCCATCACAACTAAGATTTCTTCCACCCACCTCTTCGGGTACTTTCCGCCACAAAAAGAAACCCCATTCCGTATGTAGCTCCCTTCATATTTGACATAAAGTGAAATAGCTGACAACTCAACACCCACCCACCAACCCTCAAAACCATTCCCCATCCCAAATCCCCACAAAACCCACTCTTAAAATCCTCCCTGTCAAAACCCCCCCTTTCTCAGAAAACATCCATCCCATTTACATCTCAAACTCCTCAAAGAGAACAGAGACCGATTCCCAATCTCTCTCTTAGAAACCTCCATCATTAACTCCAGCAACTTCGTCTATCCCCGGGCACAAAGATCCGTCAACCAATTTCCGGATTTCTTTTCAAATACAAAAAGTAAAAGCGGCTCGTATCTCGCTCTTAGTTATACACATATATCCGAGTTCCTGTGTGGGAGTTTATATTGTGCTATGAAGATGGGGTTTATGCTATAGTTGGAAGGGTTTGCGCTGCTTTGAACTAGCCTGCGAAGATGTGGAGACTGACTGGGGGTTTGCTTTCGATGTGTACGAATTGGAGGGGAAAGGTAGTGGTGTTTTATAGATATGTTTTGTTAAGAGCTTGTAAACTTGCATAGGAAGGCATGTAGTAGCAGTTGGTTGATACTACTTTTTACTTTATATTCTCAAGATCCCCCCAGCCCGTGGTAAGAACAAGAACTTCCCCAGTTTGAGGGGCTCGAAATCTTTAGCTCTAGGTAATATAGGTATGTGCTACTTAAAACCTCGATCAAGCATGACAAATATCTTTCTCAAAAAAAAGTTCAATGTTAAGGACATATAGACAACACAGTATCATGGATCCGCATTTACTTTCTTTCAACAGAAATCCATGTGTCGTCTTGTAAAAGGGTCCCGATAAAACATACTTATACCGTACAATATTTCACAAAACCCGCTCCTTAATTCCCCTCTTCGAAACAATCCAAGTAGGTATCATTCATCATTCCGGACCCCCCGTAGTCAAAAGCAACATCATACCTCCCAAAAGAACCCACCAATACCTGCAAACAAATTAGCAACTATCCCATAATCCCACCAACACATCCCTCCACCCCCATGATAAATAAATCACAAAACGAAAACCCCATACCCCCTCCCCACCCAAAGAAACCACAACTTACTTCTGCAACAACGTCTTCTCCGGCTCCGGCTCCTCCAACTTCCCCTCCTTACTAAGCACAACCGGCCGATTCAACTCGGGCTTCCCCCCCGCCCCCATCCTCCTCAGGGTAACCTTCGGCCCAAAATCCCTCGTCTGACCAGCGTCAATCCGCGCACTCTTAACACTAACACCCATCAATTCCCCCGTCGCATCAAGACTCAGCACGATCGTCGGTGAGTAGCCCTTCGCAAAGGTTTCCGTGGACGTGGTGGAGATGGAGGACTTCCATTTCGCGGTCGTGGGGTCGAAGAGTCCGATTCGCAGAAGAGATGAGGACATAGAGAAGGAGGAGAAGTCGAGGTCGGGTTGTTCGAAAGAGACGATTTCTGCGGATAGGGTAGAGGGGTTGTAGCGTATCTCGCAGAGTTGCTGGATCGGTTCCTGGTTTGTGGACGAGGAGATGGGTTGGAGCGAGACAATTGCACTATCTATAAATTCCTCTGCTCCCTCAGACGAAGAAGAAGCGATCGTCGCAGAGGCGCAGAGCGCGAGGAGAAAGGTGGGTATCCTCATCTTAATTGGTGTTGCTAGTTTTGAGGAGATCGAGATGTCGTTCGGCGCCTTGTTGTTCTTCGAGGCTCGGGTCGAAATCCAGGGTCCCCACTCTTTTGTCGCAGCCTTGTCGGATGGTGCCTGGGGACCTTAGGCTCAGGTACGAAGTAAGTTAGTTTTTGTCACACAAACTACCTACCCGGAGGTCTTGTACGAGGGTGGGTGTCGTCATTAGGTGACATTTCGGGAATTTAATAGAATAGCCTAATAGAAAAACTAAAAGTAAACAGTAAACAACAAAAAGACAAAAAAACCAGAGGTTGGGTTATCATCTTTTTCTATTTGGACGGTGGTAGTGTGCTTCGCTGGAATCGCTTCTAATCTCATCTCCAAAAGCATCAAACTCAAAAAGAACGCGCTAAAACGCCATCATCCCCGCCAAAAATGCTAGCAAACCCTAATGCAAAAGAGAGAGAAGAGAAAAGGTTCCCCCGGGTATATCTTTTTCTTTTCGTCAATTAATCGATTCTCCATCGTTCGTTCCTCCTTGAAGGGTATTATCGGTATCTGGGTTTTCCGCTTTCTTGGTCGAAACATCATCCATCCATGCTTTCCACTCCACATCAGTTTTCGTTGGCTTAATTTCTGGTTTCTTGGATTCGTTAATTTCTTCATTGCTATTGTCATCCTCATCATCGTCATCATCAAGTGAGCTTGAATCATCTTCCAGCTCATACTCAGCCGAACGTTCCACCAAAGCTCGATAGTAGTCGACGAGAGCTTCGGGATTGGGAACGATCTTCCAGTCCACATGGTGTAGAAACTCCAACTCCAACAGACCTAGTTCTGCTACCTTGATCCCACCCACTCGTGCGTATGTCGAGTTATTCCAAAATGAATCCGAAAGCCCTTTGGCTGCAACCGTGGCTGTAGTGATCAGAAAACGATGTATCGTAAGGCTTGTAACAGTGAAGGCGGGGTACAATAAGCACAATCGATCCATATAGTACACCATTGATAACAATAGCGGGGGCGTGAGAGTGGCGTGCTTTGCTAGTCGTTGAAGGTAATCTAGTACCGATATCCCGGGTGGGGTTCTTTAACCTAGTTAGCAATATCGCTTGGGGACGAAACTGCTCAAGCATACCTGGAGTGGAATCTCGTAAGATCCCCACGCTTTTCGTGCGCATCGTTTGTATGGATCAACTCTGATATCATGTTGGCAATTAAAACAACCATATCTTCGACCTCGCAAAACTCGTATCTAGTAGGCAATAATTTGATCTTGGTCTGAGGTGGCCGCACTCGCTTAGGCGTGATTTTGTGGCTCTCAAGGTTACTGGTAGAAGGCCGTTCACTAGTTTGTCTTTTCATGCTAGGAGAAAACGCTTCTAATGGTGGCTGAACAGTTTCCAAAGGTACAACACCCCTAGCTGGCGACGCAGCAACAGCCAGTTCCTTTCCCTTCCCCTTATCCTCCTTCATCGGCTCTGGCTCTGAGAGTGGAGGAGGGTCCATCTTTGCTTTCATGACTGGGGTCGACCACTGGGTGGTAGCGTCGACATATCGTACCCGTTGACCAGAGGACGTCTTGTGAACGACACCGTGGTGGCTCAACTGCGCTTGCGACCTGGACTTGGAATTGGTTCGAGATAAAGGAGAGGAGGGTTGCGATTGAGAGACTGGCGCATAGTGGAAGCTTGGAGATGACGGAGAACGGGACTGTGGTAACGACTTCAGCATGGTCTTGACGGTGTACTCATTGTCAGACGCCTCCGAATAATCGACCGAGTGAGGGGGAGACACGATGGATGGAGGTGGGATATATAGAGGCTCGTTCGTGGGGAATTCAATTGTGACGAGTTGGCGCAGCGGCAGGTACTCGGTCTGTATCTTTGGCGTCGAGATACTGTAGTGATATCGCGATGGTACTCGCCGTGGCAGTTGGAGGTGCCGCGCGACAGGCGTTGGCAACTTTTGCAAGCTCTAAGCTGTGCCCGTGCCCGCCGTTTTTCAACGCGCTCGTTGGTGAGTTGCGAGCTCTCCCGTCAGATCTGGTGGTTGAACAATGACCGAGTTTTTTTGGCGGGGCAGAAGAGGCTAGCCTAGAGCGTCAAAGCCCAATTGGGGTTAGGTACTGGGTACTTTGTATCTTTTGTACTGGGAGAGTTTCAGAAACTAGGATGGAGAAGAATTGGACAAACGGACCGGAGGAGAATTGATGGAAATGGTGAGTTCAAGTTCGTCTGAAGAGCGGGAAGAAATATTTTGGAACATGCGGACGTGGGAAGGATCTCTTGATTCATGTTCACTGTCCCGTTTAGCTCGTGGTGTTCATGTTATCCCATTCCCGTCAATTGGGTTGTATTGCCAAGCCTCCTGCACCCGGAGGGCGATCGCGGACTTCGGGAGGCTGAAATGGCATCATAGCTAGAAAATTTAAAGAGCTTGCAGAGTTTATAATCAACTAAAAAGTTAGAGCTATAGTGTTTTAATTGAAAAGTTTTCAATCATCAAAATTACTTAATAGACTGAGTTATCAAGGGTTTCGATTTACTCACGAAGTACGTCTCGCCGTCTGATCGCGTTCGTATCCAGTCATCCAATCTTTTGCGTGGGTCCCACCACACCCTTTTCTAGAAGTAGATGGTGTTTACCTACGTAAATGATGGACTTGAGTGGTATTATGAGTATTATTGCCTGCTTTCGTTTTTTCGGTGTAATTAATCTAAAGATGCAAAGTAATCAAATTGGAACATTGTTATTCTACTAGTCTCGCTTAAATATTCGCAGTGGAATTGGACTTGTCTGGATTTTCCAATTGTTGTACGAACCGGTGAGTAGATTAGGTACGCTGGTACATAGGTGAGATCTTACGTAGGGACGTAGGCTCGTAGGTACTCCCTCTACTACTATGCTACCCCTTTCTATCCATGACAAGCCGGAAGTTGGAGCCGATTGGTGTAACTCAAGACTCGAGGATGAATGGTTCAATGGCGTCAGGACAAATCAACATCAGTCGTGGGAATGCCAATCATGCCGGCCGCAGACGCTGATGTAACCTTTTCCCGCAGAGGTGCAGTATGTTAAGTGGGATTGCCATGGCGCCGTGGCGGCCGTTGTGTTTATTCGCTGTGCTTCGGTGGTAGGCATGGTGGTAGCCACAGCGAGGTGCAAAGTCACGAATCTCGTAGAGTCTCACGATGGTGGTACCGCGTGGGATTGGGCACAAATCATCTTATTTGTTTTCATTTCAGGCATAATCGCCCAGAGTAGATGAGTGTGGGTAGTGGTGGAGAGTCGGTGGGTAGTAGAAGTAGGTGGGCATACGTGTTGACATTGGTGGTGATGCAAGCTGGAGTGGTGGAGGAGAGCGGGGAGGGCAGAGGGCAGAGGGTCCTGAGAGGAGCGTGTTGTTGACACGCTTCCAAGCTTTTTTGGACTTGGGACGAACTCTTTTTTGCTGGCAGCTCCCACGGCCCTCAACTCTCCCACTTCTGTTCACTTCCAACCAGCTCAACGCATGGAATTGACATCGACATCGGAACTTTTGGAACCGTGACGGTACGGTCCATCGCTCACTCTACTTGTGCTCACCTCGCCAGGGTCCTTGGGTCCTTGGGTCCTTAGGCCCTACGCCTCAGGCCCTTCACTTCCGGCTAATCCAGCCACAGCCACTGCACTGGACTCGAGCGGCAGACGTTTATCGACCTGCAGCAGCAGCTCGGCTCTTGCGCGTTACAGTACCGTTGCCGGGACATCCCCCAAGACTTTGGACTCCATCAAAGAATTCCGCTACACCGCAAAATTTACAAGCCTACCACGTCGATTGATTCTGCTTTGCATTGCAATTCACATCTTTCTGCATCACTGCACTTGTCTATCCTGTCGTTCCTTGTGCGAAGCGAGTATTGTCATTCTGCCTTGAGTTCCGTTTGCTGTTGAGGTTTGTTGACACCCGCCTTCCCGTCACTGCCTTCACTTTTTCCCGAAAGTCTGCTAATCCGGCCCTTCCGCCAGTTTCCTTCATGACCCTATGACCCTTCTACGAACTGCAACAGTCCCTCCCGATTCGCAACAGGCTCGCAATTGCCCATTGAAGGCTCGATATAATACCTACCGACCCCCCGCGTTGAGAGCAAATAAAGTTCCTGGTCTAGAGACCACACAACCACAATGGACACTCCGCCGCCACCGCCTCCGCATGGTGGAGCTCCAAAGTCCTCTGGCCTGCCACCAGGCAAATACGATATTTTCATAATACCTCCTCACTCCTCAGGCTCTGGCTTCTTGTACCTCCCGTCCCTACAACCACACACCAACAGTTTCGCAGCAGGGTTTGCCTCGGCCCTCATATTGGTTGTCATAGGCTCAGCACTGGCTCCTGCCTTCAAAATATGGTGGATTAGCGTCCAGGGATCTGGTGGGATGGGCATGATCCTGCTCGTGGTGGCCGTTGGGGTCGGTGCCTGGGTTCTGGGTAGAACGCAAAATGATCGTCCCGGGCCAGGCGGTGGCTCCAGTGGAGGTGCCCCAGCCCCAGATGCTGGGCCTCAGCCAAATGGGCATTCCAATGCCCATGATGGCTATGCGGCTGGGGGTGCACCACCACCGCCTCCAAGATCTGGTCCACAGGCTGGAGCTTCGGGTGGCCGTTCAGGAGGAGGATGGCAAAGAGGTAATCCTCCCCCTGGAGCTACACATGCCAACGAAGGTGATGGACACGCCGAAGGGGCTGCCAAGGGGGCTTGGGAAAGGGCAAGGGAAGACACGAAGCGAAAGGAGGATGAACGAAAGGCCCGGGAAGCTGCCCAGAAACGTAAAGAGGAACTGGAGAAAAAGTTACGAGAAGCACGAGAGAAGGAGGCGCGCGAACGAGAAGTTCGCGAGAAGCGGCAAAGGGAAGAGGAAGAGCGGGCTAAAGCAAGAATGGCCGCTGCCGCTGCCGCCGCAAAAGAGAAGGAATTCAAAAAGGCTCGGGAGCAAGAAAGAGAGAGGCAAAGAATACAAGTTGAGCAGGAAAGAGAACAGCACCGGAAGCGACTCGAATTGGAGAAGGAGCAGCGTCGGCAAGAAGCCGAACTAGAAAGACAAAGGGAATTTGAAAAGATTCGAGCCGAGGAAAGAGAACAGAATCGGAAACGAGTCGAATTGGAGAAGGAGCAGCGTAGGAAACAAGACGAGCTAGAGAAGGAGCAGCGCCGGAAACAAGCCGAATTGGAAAGGCAAAGGGACTTCGAGAAAACTCGAGCCCAGGAAAGAGAACAGCACCAGAAACAAATCGAAATGGAGAAGGAGCAACATCGGAAACAAGTTGAGTTGGAAAAGGAGCAGCGTAGGAAACAAGAAGAGCTCGAGAAGGAGCAACGCCGGCAACGATTTGAACTGGAACAACAAAAGGCATTTCAAAAGACTCGAGAGGAGGAAAGAGAACAGCAACGGAAAATAGTTGAACTGGAAAAGGAGCAGTACCGAAAACGAGTCGAGTTGGAAAAAGAGCAGGAAAGGGCAAGGAAGGCTGCCGCCGCCGCCGCCGAGCGAGAAAAGGAATTGGTGGAAAGAGCCCGACAGCAGGAAAGAGAAAAGCTTCTGAAAGAAATCGAACTGGAGAGGGAACAAGAGAGGGCTAAGCAACGCGAAAAGGAACAGGCCGAAGCACTGGAACGAGAAAAGGCCGAAAAGGCGCAAAAGGCAATCGACGATGAGAAGGCAGCAGCGTGGGAGAAGCGAAAACAAGACATGCGGCAAAGGGCAAAGCAATTGCAGGTGGAGAAGGAGAAGCTAGCGAAAGCAAAACTGGACGCTACGACTCCCAGGGGAAGCAGTTATGCCTTTTCATCGACAGGAGAAAAGATCAATCCATGGCCTCAAGGACGACCTCCTTCCCCTCCTCCATACGAATCACCGCCACCCTCACCTACCAAGAAGCCGCCTCCCCCAACAGCAAAAACCTACCGTGGAACCGAAGAGGACGCTTACTCCTATCGACCTTACGACGAACCCAAAAAGCCGAAACACAAAAAGGCCCCCTCCTCCGTTTGGTCCGAATCATCTTATACTCCATCCCAATCTACTTCCAGGACGACTCCACCACCCTCGCAGAGAGGTCCATACTCCACTAAGGATCCAAATAAGATCGTTATCAAGGCCGTGTACGCATTTAACAACGCATTTCAAAAGACTCCCACTTCACAACTGGTCTCTGGGGTTGGATCCGTTACCGATGGTCTGATTCTGCGAATAAATTCCGAAGGTCTTTTCATTGATGATGATGTCCGTGGCGTCCCACAACGAGAATGGGACGTCAAAGCCTGGACTATGAAACTCGTAGAGGTATGGTGTCCATTTTTCCGCCACGCTGGCAATCCTACATCTGCTTCTGCTGCGTCTAACAAAAAGAATCCTGTTCGTCGGTTGTGGGGCCTAGACAAGGAAAAAGCTGCCACATCCGAGGAAACGGATGCTCTCTTAACCGACATGTTGCAAATTTGCAACAGTAATTGTCGTTTCCGATCGAGCTCCTCGTCGTCTGCTTATTCCGCAAGTTCTGCGGGTTCTCGCGATGATCGTTCTTCTGTTAATGATTCAGCTTATGGTTCTTCTGTTGGCTCGTCGTCGCCCTCTGGGAATAAGAAAACTGACAAACGTGGTGTACACTACCAGACGGGAGAATTGAAAAGCGCGAGACTACATGTCTTGAGAGCTAGCATTCGTGATCAAGAGGGCAGGAAGTACTTGTTCGTTATTGATGATACGGAGAGTTGGAAGATCGCTGGTGCTGTACAAAGACTACGAAAGGGACCTCTCCAACGGGGTTTGGGGGTGTGTGGTTTGAGTACTTCTGAGGCAAGGGGCATGCTCGATCATTTAGGATGGTCGTGAAAGTCTACTTTCTATCTAAGGACATGAATTATGGTGTGGGCGTGGAATGTGGATACCATTTGTTGTGGAATGTTGTAGGTTGTGATATCCAACATCTCTCTGTTTTTTCACTGTCGAGCGAGAAAAGCGGCATATGCATTAGCGACGGAGCCTTACGATTTTTTGCTTTTTCGGAAGAGGATGGGGGTGTTGGTTGATTGGAATATTGTAGATGAAGGGTGCGCAACCTACGATATGAATTGGAAAGGTGTTGATTGAGTATTGTCGTCGGTGGTTTTTTTGCTTGGGGGAGCACATATACATTTACAAAATGTCAACCTCGTTCAGCCCCTATAACACTCTCTCCTCTTGACTTGTTATCATTTCTTGAAGTGTCATGTTTTCCAGACTCCAAGAAATTAGTCGAGATGTAAACATTAATAAAGATATCCACATTTTATTCAGGAGGTATATTGTTGTCTAGGAGCGAAGCGATTCAAGCCCCCCACGGCAGTGGCCCTCGGAGAGCCAGCGGAGCTTCAATTGTCTGGTGGGTGAGCTACAAGAAGCTTGCGACACGGGCCGATGTCGCAGTTGTCGGTGACTGTCAGCCAGTATTCCCCCAGTACAAGGGTCCCAGGTGTAGGTGGAGTGAATGTGAGAAAGACAAGGACGTCAACTGAAGGGAGAGCGGGAGCATTCAAGGCTAAGCCACTGGCAGCTAAATAATACACCATCTGGCGCATTCACATTAATCCAACTTGCCGACTTCCGATCTTCTCCATCTTCACACAAATTGTGTAGCCGATGCCAACACATCCTCACGTAACAAGAGGATAATCGCATTCAGATCACTCCATACGCCATACGCCATACGCCATACGCAAGCGATACTCGTACAACTCGCTGCGCTCACCACCATAAACTCTTGTCATATCCACCATGGCGCGAATACCTTGGTCTACCCAGATTCGAAATGCTCGAGATACGGCTGAGCAGGTTTCCCTCTTGAGAACGCTGAAGAATGAATTTGTTGGCCACCCATTGAAAAAAGAAGCAGCTGTGGCAGCAGGAGTACTGGAGCCCGTCGTCCGCTTGACGTTCAACAAGACTGGCAGCAGAAGTAATGGGAAATCCCACGACCAAACCTCAACTCCCACCTCGATATCTCAGCCACTGAGCGAGGAGGAGGCTGTTCGGTTCCAAGGACTGCAGGTCCTTGCCAGTCTTGCGCTGGGTGAGGATATCCGGAGCTCCCAGTGGCATTACTTGGTATAACATGATGCTAATAGCTTCTTAGGAGGTCCTGCTTTCCTTCCCCCATTACATGCTGCTTCGGTTTTACCTACGATCCTGTCGAACCTCTGTCCTTCGAATAACCCAGCACAGCTTGTCCTAGCTTCCCTTCGTGTCATTTCGAATCTTGCAGACTCGTCAGCCTTGTCATGCAATGCATACGCCATAAACACAAGTGTTATTGCGAACTCGCTCTTTACCCGCCGAAACGTCTCCTTCCTAGCGCATATAATATCCCAGGTGTCTGCATCTTCGACGGTCCACTGCCAGATATCTCTTGCGTCCTCCATAATAGGAAGGATATGCCGTGAGGAACGTCATCAGCAAATACTGGCAATTTCGGGGGTTCTGGATGCCCTAGCTACGAAATATGCTGGATTTGTTGTCGCAGAAGGATTGGTTATACCCGGCGCGGAAATCTTGGCTCAAAGAGACGGACTGCGAGAATATATTCCCCCACCTACACCCCGTACCGTGGGCCTAGCGGTAATACTAGAAGCAATCGCGACGATCATTGCAAACTCCAAGTTCAGAGCCTCGCAGCTGTTATACTCCCCTTCTATTCTTGCGGTCTTGCCAACCACTCAGTCCCCAGAGTTCGTGGCTTCCCAATCTGTGCGCGCTGCTTGGAACGCTTTTAATGTTGCCGGTTTAAGTGGCCGCCAGAGTCAACTTAATGCCGTGGACTACCTTCTGCCCTATGTGCCCCTTCATCAATTCAAGTCTTCTACTTCTCAAGTGTCTGCCTTCCCTCCACTTGGATCGTTCAGCTCAAGAGAACCGCTAGTCCCCACTGGGCGATCAATAACCAAATTTCCCGGGGCAAGCATTGCCAATTGGGGCGGTTCTAGTGGGATTGAATCAGGAACAGCATTTGAAGACCTATCTCCAATAGATTCCGAAGAATTGGAAAGTCCCCTCATACCAAACCTGATATTGACCATTAGGAATAAACGAGGAATGGAACGCTTGATGGCTGCTTCGGTTTTGACTGTTCTCTATAGAGCTGGTTTGGCAAACAAGACCAGGGAGACATATATTGGTCTTTTGGTCATTCCTCTCCTAGTACAGATGCTTGACGATAGTATTGGACCAACCAAAGGTAAGGACATTTTCGCTGATGAGGAGGCGCAAAATATGGATCGAGCGATCAAAGAAAGAGCACCTGCTGTTCTCTCCATGCTTATCACCGACAGCAAATATCTGCAAAAGGCCGCCTTTGATGCAGGTGTCGTTGGTAAGCTTGCTAAGATGCTGAAAGTGTCCTATGATCCTGTTGTTGACATCCCCAATACACATGCTTGGTCTCCGCGCAGCAATGATGAGATGATATATGAAACATCAGATGCGGATCTTCGCGGTTACTCTCCCTTCTTATTCCACAAGATCAAAATCAGGGAGAGCACGTTAAAAGCTATAGCCGCACTCGTGCCCTTCAAAGACGAATATCGCAAGGCAATCGTTGAACAGGGTACGATACCATATATTGTCGTATCATTGAGCTCGAAGCCGGGCAAACCTTCGCCTAAAGGCACGGAGAACGGCGACAAAACATCAGATGACTCGGCCGATAACAAGAAACAAGCTTACGGAATCAATACTGTTGATGTTTTGATTGCAGCTTGCGGTGCTATCAGAGCGTTGTCTCGTTCTGTTGGTATTCTCAGAACGACTTTGATAGATAGCGGGGTTGCGATGCCAGTATTCCGCCTTCTTCAACATCCTGACATCGAGGTTCAAACTGCAGCTACAGCAACTGTCTGCAATTTGGTGACCGATGTCAGTCCAATGCGCATGGTGAGTAAGAAATACCGATGTCTGTGGGACAACACTAATCCGTTTGACAGGTCATCGCCGATGCAGGTGTTTTGAAGATACTGTGTGCGCATGCACATTCTATGAATGCGAAATTACGTTTGAATGCAGTCTGGGCTCTGAAGCATTTTGTTCATTCTGTGCCTAATGACGACAAGATGAAATGTCTGGAAGAGCTTGGGCAAGGCTGGCTTGTCAGACTCATTTGTGATGATACAGAGGATGAAGCGTTGTCGTCGTTGAGGGGAAAGGGGGAAATGTTCGACGGAGTCGATGATGATATTGACATGGATATCGAGGAAGTCATGAGTCCTGGATTCATAGCCTCCTGTCGTCCTAGTCCGCCAAGAAGCAATCGAAGCAAGTCCATTCAACAGGCAGAGCTTCGACTCGCTGCATTGCGAGAAGCGGAAACCAATCCAGCCAAGCGAGCCAGGAAAGATGATGTTGCGGTTCAAGAGCAAGGTCTTGATTTCATACGAAATCTCATTGGGGGAGCTGGTCAAGGCAGTACGTCAGAGACAACGGATATGATAGACTACCTATTTGCTGCTCTGGGACAGGACAGAGTCTTCGAAATTCTGGCCTCCAAACTCCGACCGAAGGTCATCCACCTATTTGGTCGGAGAGGCTCTAACTCAGAAGCACGAGTCGTTCCTCCGCAGTCTGAAATCATCATTGCGGTTGGATACATCCTCGTCCACATGGCCGCGAGTATTCCTCGTCATCGACAGCTGGTGATTGCGCAGACGGACCTACTCAAGCTCCTGGTTCCACAATTCAGTCATGAGAGTTGTGATGTAAGACTAGCGCTTTGTTGGTTGGTTACGAACCTTACTTGGATGGATGATGCTAGTGATGCGCATGCTTGTGCACAGCGGGCGAACGAATTGAAGAAGTTGGGCTTCTTGGCTAAATTGGAGATGCTGGAGCATGATCCGGAGTTGAATGTAAGAGAGAGGTCGAAGTCTGCGGCTTGGCAGATGAAACAGAAGTATTAGGCACGGAAATTGGGCTAGGGGGAGGGTGAGGGGGGGATTAAATGACTTGTATGTATGAATTAGCGAGGGTCCTGTGGTGATGGCATTCCCACTTTTGTATTTTTTGAAGCGTGGCTGGTTTGGGTGGGTTGGTAGTCATGGAATGGATAGGATAGGATAGCGAAACAAAAGAACAATTAATTCTGGGTTGGATTTGATTTCTTACTATCCCCTTTCTTCTTCTTCTGAACCTGTGCTTCGTGGTGTTTGCTATGCCATTGCGTACTACGGCTCTAGCCTAATAATATAGCAGGCAATGGAATTTGGGAGTATGTTAATACACCTTTACTTGTCTGCTTAATCTTGAGTCTCTCCACCTACCCTCACTCGGCATGAAGGATCTATTCCTTCTGACTAGTTTACTGTACTGTAAGATCTGTGCTGTGCCGGGCTGGGCGGGTGAGTTTGGTGAGATTTGGTATATTGGATAATAGTTATACGGTGTACCTTGGATACGCATCCACCGATTTTCTTTCCCTTGGATGAGCGAAGTCTCTGTGTGAGGTGAACCTCCTCATAAAAGTAGTCGTATCGAACTCCACCTACGTTGGCCAGCAGCTTCAGAGAGTGGTTACTTAGGTAACAAGTCATGAATCCAAGGGGCTATGGAGCAAATTCAACTTCCGGTCTCTGTTACTGTATTTTCTAATGCGCAAGGTGGAAGTGGTCTTACTCATTTTCGTTCTCTTTCTCATTCTAGCCAAAGCGTCAACCTTGTCCAGTCGACATTCAAGGTGCAAACTGAGTTAAGAGCGAAGGAGAAACGTCGAATTGGCGTACTGTGGTCTCTGAGAGTACCTTTGAACCGCCGCTTCTCTGCGCCGTAATTGGAATATCGCTCTTTCCCTGGGGACTTCGACTCGCTTGAACCTACCACTCTTCGCGCTAGTGTAGTGGGTACAGAATCTCATCCCAAGGAAGGAATGTATTAGATCCCCATCCCTTCGCCCTCCTCTTATATACGATTTTTCGCCCTCGAAAATGGATCGGAGGGGAGTAGAAAATGACCAGCTCTCTTCATGAAATGAGATACTATAAAAGCGTCTCCTGAGCACCTCATGCCGACTTTGTGCTTCTTATTCCCGTCTCGAATATGTGTTTAAGTATATACAACCACTTGATTCCAAAGGTCCCAACCGACAATATACCATACTCTCAACACCGAGGACATATTAATAGTATTTCGATTGGTTTGGGTCCTTATTCTAATAGGACGCAAAGTCTAAGTACTCTCGTCTTTCTGTACATCTAACACAAATGAAGTTGCAGCATTGCCAATCTCCTGTAATCTATCCCCCAGCATAGCTTCTCACTCAAAGTGGCCTCCTTTTTCCTTTTCTTTGAGGAATTTCTCGCTCTTCACTTTGGATCCAGCTGGACTAAATCGTTTTGCCACGGCTTGGACCATTTTACCAAACCAGTAGATATTCAACATACTCAGAACGGTATTACACCCACAGTAGATGAGTGCTAACCAAATCGGTAAGTTCACCTCGGATTTTTCATCAGTGACCGCTGCCCAGACGTCGCGGTAAATGTTGAATGATTGGTAATTTCCCCAGATGATCCGACTACAGAAGAAGGTGGTGAGAAGGATAAGCCCGTTGTAGAGTTGAAAGTTGGAACCAGTTAGATTTAATTTATCGCAAAACCAGTGGATGTTGAGAAAAGGCGTGGAGAGTTCGTAGAGGATAAAGTTCATTCCGTAATAAATCGCAAATGGACGCTTTAATGAATAACAAGGAATTGTTAGCAATCTTTTATGAGATCATTCATAATTGCAGCAAGTCAAGATCAGAGATCCTTTCTCAAGATTCTCAGCTCCAAATCAGTATTTGCCCCATCAGAGCTCAGAAATCAGAGAGCGAAATAGGAATACTTACAAATCCCAACGTAGTAATCATCAAAGCACTCATAGCATGCATCAAACTCCCAATGCCCAACAAGTCGAAATGCAACACACTAACAACCAAATCCCACAAAAAGTACCCCTCAACACAAGCCTGCACGGCGCCTTCGGCACCCGTATACCCATGAATCCTCTCCATCCAGCCGCCCTGCATCCTCTCCTCATCCTTCCAAATCACGAAAAGCGAAAAGGTAACAATAAAACAGGATTGGACAAAAGAAGTGAAACACGCATCCCACTTGATCCTCGTGCGCCGTGGGAGACGGGTGTATGTATTGGGAGACAGACAAGAGGACAAGAAGGGGGAGAAAAATTGGAAGATCAGGTGGTAGGTTGTCCATGCGAAGAGGATCTCGTGGATGTGGAGGGGGAGGGTGGTGAGGTTTAGGGCGGAGCTCCAGGGAAGGGTGGATTTGACCAGACTTGGTGGGGGAGAGGGGAATGGGTCGTGCATTCTTGACACTGGAGGAGATTTGCTCGGGGGGAGATGGGCTGGTCTGGTCTGGTCTGGTCTGGTCTGGTTTGGTCTTTTGAATGGATTGTACAAGTAGAAATGTTTTCGTGTTGCAGGAGGTCGTGAGGTTAGAGTTGGCCTGATACCGAGGTCGTTTCGCTGCGCGCCATTGTTGGCTTGCGGACCCTGGATTGTGGCTGACTTCACGTGCCACGATTGGGTTGCATGGATAGTTGGGATCAAAAACTTCTGAGGTTGGTTGAACTATACACACGCGCTAAAGGGAAAGGACACTTTATTATTGTAGTGGTACCCGCTGCTCGAGTCGGGTTCTCTGCACCAAGGAACTCAAATGGTTAAAGGGGCAGTTTTCTCTCGGTCTCTACAGGAACACATCAGAAAGTGAGAATTTTGTTGAATACATGACAAAGTTTACCGCAAGCTCTTTCAATTATTACGTTCGATATTGGGGAATATGCTAGAGATCTTTAAGTATGCTTGCTTTGCAATTTTCACAGAAATCTCAAAAGTCCGTCTTCCAAACTGCAGAGAGTACAAAAAGCGGGAGCTTCTAGCGCTGTTCTCTTATCTCCTCGTGTAGGTCTGTGCCGCCAATGCATAAGCGAGTATTCCTCGAGAGGTATAAAGTAGTTTCCAGTAATTCCTGCTAATACTAATCTGGCATAACATAAAATTTCACTTTGAGTTAGTAGAATCTGCTAGGAATTAGATAATCTCTTAGGTATCTACATAAGATACCAGTTAATAAATAAATTTTAGTCGTGAATTAGTTCTAGATTTTCTTGTTACAAAACGCACATCTGACTCAGGGGCTCGCAAAAGGCTCGCATATACCTTGGCGGAACAGACATATAGAACGAGATAAGAACTTGCCTCCCGAAGTTCCAGGCGCTAAAATTTTATAGGTCATTCTATAGCATGTGACCAAAGACAACTCTCGAGGTTTGAGAGCATAGCTATTTAGGACTTTCTTAGATAAATGCTTTACGGATACAAATCTCTTTTGACGAAAACGCTCACGGCCTGGCCCTCACATGTCTATTCCTTCATCTTCAACAATTTTCTGGACTCAACTTTCAGTATGTTCATGTTTAAAAAGACCGTCTTTAAGTTTTCTATAATTCCTTTTATTCTATATATGATATTAAATGTGATTCTATTTGTAATCTAAGGTCTACTAGGCTAGGCTGGTAAATGGAGTTTACTCAGGTATATGCCACTTTACCTTGTTTCTAAGATTTATTTAATGAACGTATCTGAAAAGAAAAAGAAAATGATAAGTACTCGTACAACAATGAGCAAGATTGGTTTGGTGGTTTTTTCCACTCAAGAAACGCTATTTACATAAACTCTGACAGATGTTGAAATTATAAATTGAGGATGTTAGTAAGTTTGACTTTGCAAATTATTAACAAGAATACACTTCGAATTTGAGTAATATAGACTGAAAATGTTACATTCTGCTTGATAATTTGTCCTCTTTTCGCGAAACACCAATTGGAATTTCAAACTTCTAAATGCAACGCCATTCGCTTAATCTTCTTCGCTATGGATAACAAAAAGAACCAACACCAACCCTGTTGCTAGAGAAACAAGTTGTTTTATATCCAATATAGAGCCCTAAAATCAGCCAAAGGTTGGTGATGTAAGTCAGATAAGTATCAACAAATTTGGCAGGAAATTAGGTCTTAACTCGCTGCAGCTACTGTCGGTTGAGATCTGGCGATGGAATTGGGGAACTGAAAGACAATTCTCGCTATCACTTGTGGCATCAATCGGAGAAGAACAGGCATCAGGATGGCAAGCTCAGAAGGGATACCGCGTACAGGTGCTAAATCTTTGTCTCTTAATTACCAAGTGTTGTTCAAGTTTAAGGCTCAAGACAAATAAAGATAGAAAGAGTGACCTCAATGTCCGCCTCTTGTGCCGGAATTGCTCTGTAGGATCGAACTACCAAGCTACTCGATGCGTATCTCTACTCAAACCTTTTGGACTCTGCGAGAACCTGCTGAGGGTACTCATCAAAGGGCCTTCAGAAATTCTCGGGAGTCGAGATGTCAAACTGGCCTCTTCGCTCCTTCCCGCACACTTCCGCCTCGCCTCAACATACCCCAATCGGCGAGTGCAAGACCATTGCTGACTCCCCGGCATGGGTCGAAAAAGCTCCTGCCCACAGCTATGTCTCCACGCCAAGAACCTGTTTTCTCGCTGTGCTCCTTCCCTAGCAAAGTCTCGCGAAGGAAGCAGATGAGCAACTATACCCGCGTCCCCACCCTTCCCCAACTATTTCAAACCCAACCCGACTCTGCAAACTTTCTTCAACCGTCACCACCCTCATACATCAATCATCATCCCCATTCTCACTCCCATCCTCTTGCGGAACAAGGTCCGATGCACCGAGGTCGGATACTGTAGGGGAACCATCTCTTCAAGATACTACATCGTATCTTCGACTGTGTTGACACGGTTGGGATGGCTTCTCCTGATACCTGCGGGCGGTATCGGGATAGGTGATAGGTGTGGTTTTACCCCTTCTGGTTCTGTCCGGCGGGTATTACTCCTTCAGTAAGCTTGTTGGCTCTGGTTGCGATTCTTGGTTGGCTTGGTTGTGTCTTGGGTGATGATGGTTGTTGTGGTTTGCTGCTCAGCTGGTAAGTATTCTTCCAAATCACTGCCTCTTTGTGGCCTTGGCTGATCATGAATGACTGGTTCAGAGATGTGTGTGAAAAACGGTCATTATGCGCTGAAAGTGACAAATTCCAAGCAGGTGGATCGCGTATGTATTATCCATCTCTCTCCCAAAACGACGATGACAAGGGTACTGTCGACTCTACCCATTTCTAGAGCGAAACCATTCGTTTTCACCCTCCACCTTGAACTTCATTTGTTGGAAGTAAATTGTGGAAAAGGAGAAACAAAGGTAAGGAACCCTCCTCTTTTTGGCATAGTTCTTCTCGGCATTTACTCCTTCTCTTCGATGCTCTCTCTCATTCATTTCTTGTGTCTTCCTTCGATCCTACCAACTAAACCAAATAGTGCTCCGAAACTTCAAAACGAATTCAAGAGTTCCGCAAGCACCACTTATATACTTCGTCGCGCATGTCACCGTTTCTCCTCAGCTTTCAAGGTTGATGCTTTTCTTGAGATCTGAATTTAGTTGTTAGATTCTCTCAAGTAACAGTATTCGTCGGATATTCTTGCAAATGAGTTTGCTATGACCTGCCAAAATATGAGGCCGCTAGCAAATTATATGTCACAGCTCACCGACTAACATACAGCTCTAGTTTTGGGTAGTCAAGAAATTGCAAAGGTTGCTCATTGTGGACCTATTGTATGACAATATGTCCTATATCCAATAAAAACAAAAGAATCATTCCTCGGTTAAATTCACAATGACGCCCACTCGCCTAAACCCCTTGCTAAAATCAAAACGCTGGAAAAACAAGATAAGATACAGCAACCCGAGCTAAAGTTGGGTTCAAAGATGTGGTATATTCTGCGTCCAATCCGGAGTTTCATAAGCGGCGACGGGAAGCTTCCTAATGCTGATGAAAGCCTCAACAACCAAGAATATTCTAGCAACTGCGTAGGCGATACCACAAATAGAGCAGAGAAACCCTAACACAAGATAGTTCGTCCAATGCGCTCGAAGTGCTAAAACGGTATCCCAGTATTCATCGATATATCTAAAGGTATGAGCAGCGAGGTTTATTAGAAGCCACAACAACCCAGAAGCAGCAATGTAAATTGCCGAGATTTGCCACAGATATTTTTTTGCGGAGGTGGGAAAATGGTCGTTCCAGGCGGCGATATGGACGGCTCCGTAGGCCATACTGGCACACCACAAGATCATACCCATCACGAGACCTTCGGTTCCACGAAGAAGCTCCTCTTCTGGCCAATTGCTTGCCGAAGCTGTCAATAATTCTTCGGTTGTCGGTCTTAGCCACGTAGTATCATTCCTTAATTGTTTCGATGGTTCGCAAAGAGTGCTCTCAAAGCGTTCTCTGATAGTAGGGTACTCTTGCACCGCAATATCAGCCAATTTCCATCGCTTAACTTGAGTCCCGCTTGGAACCTGGGCTAGTTCTGCAGTTCCCGAGTAGACAAAGCCATTGGTCGAATCCCCTACCGGCGGTCGTATTCCAAAGTGCCCTCCTGAAAAATCGATTTTGTCCTCCCGCTCTGGGCCTGGAGATGGAGTCAAATTGCCACTATCATGTAAAGGACTTGGAGCTGGCTGTGTGAAAAAAGTAAGATCCGAGATTTCAGGTTCGTACCAAGTTTGTCGAAGTAGTCCTGCGTGACGACTTTTCTTCCCGCTGATTTTGCTGCTCATATACATATACGCACATAAGGGCGCTACCCAGTCCCCTTCAAGTTTGGTTGGCTCGCGCACCATTCTTGGTTTGTACCACCACAGCAAATATATGATCAAAGCACATAAGACATGGCCCAAGGTGTTTACTTCAAGTAAAGTCACCGGAAGGTCGTTGATGACCCGCCCCAGTACTTGCACCACCATCCATCCAGCTTGGATACACACAAAAGATTTCGCCAGGCCGTCTGCTTTGCTCTTGTCTTTTATGTCATCCTTACTGATGTTGGGGAGATGACCACAACGTGCCAGGAAGGCCATTCCGCGTGCTGATACCGTGAGAACAGGCCCTCCTTCATTAGCAGGACCATCTGGTTCCACTACAAACCCTCCCATCCCAGCGTAGAAGCTATGCACCATCGTCCAGCGATGTCTGGGCTCGATATCGGCACGGGACTCGTATCTGAATTCCTCGTTCTATATGAAATCAGCAAGGCTGTGAAATACCAGTAACGGTTAATGTTTACCTTCGACACATATTTCTGGTTATCTGTCGAGACTTTTTCTAAGATGTCCTGAAATGCCCTGGCTGAGTTGTACTGTCTCCAAGTCGCAGATACAACGAGCTCCGGAGCCACGACGCCCACTAACCCCCATTTGAAGTTCTTTGTCCAAACTTGTGCCTCTGATTCGTTGCGTGGTGGAATATTTAGGTGCATTGCGGACCACACGCATAGTCCTAATGTGAGGATGCTGGAAATAACGAGTGACAGCGTTCCCCGCCCATTTGGGTCTCCCACTCATCTTACGGTATCTGTGTTGGTTCCATTACTGGCAATTGCAATAGGGACGAATAAAAAAGAGACTGCTAAAACATACAAATAGAACACCATGGTGCCTTTGCAATATTGTAAATTTCCAAAATTGAACAGATACTGTCCAGCAGACTGTTTTTACTTTAAAGAGCCAAAGGACGCGGTTGTTGGGACAGAGGTGGTAATCGAGAACTGTGATGCAGCGCTTGTCTTTGCCGGTGAGTGGTGGAATTGTATTCTTGTCAAGGATTAATGCCTGCGTGTGGCGTAAAGCCTCAAAAAGTTTGGCTATAATATGACCATACGTTACTGAATATAACAATTATGATTTAAGGCATAAGTTAGCAGTGTTCCAAGTTTTGAGCTCAAGCGAGCAACAAGTTTGGAGGTAATCTTTTTATAACACTTGATTCAACCAGAGATGCAATATAGAGAAACCGTAGCGAATTTGACATCGCATTCTCAATTATTCCAGCAGAAGTTCAGAATGCAGTGGCAGGGGTTGGAAGCCCCATACCTATTAATAGAGATCATACGACGACCTTTTTGTGACCAAGAAGGGTTGCTTTTCACCTTATCTCTCGCCCTACATGAAACACAATAATGTACCAGTCGCTGTTACCAACCGAGGTCCAACAATTGAAGAATTAGTAATGATTGGCAGTCAATATGCAGAGGATGCAGGGGGATGTACTCGCCCGCCCACTGCTGTCTTCACCGATCAAAGTGCTGGTACAGCACTTCTCAGCTTGATGCTTTACCTAGAAATAATCATCAAGAATAGAAATGGAAACAGTATCTGATTTGCGGAAGCGAGCCTCACTTCGTCCGGATGTCAGTTTGCCGATTTATTCTTTCGAACGCAATGTTTGTATTGCTAACTTTTACAGACCACGTCCATGCAGGATATGACGACAAACGAGGTTCGAAGTCGTTATGTACTCCTGCTGTGGGATGAAATACGTGAGTTGTACCGAGGAAATCCAAGGACTCGCGTGAGTTGGAATGCTGATATAAATTATTCAAGAATCCTGGCAACAGTAGGCAGTCCCTTTCGTAGCAAAGCATCTGCGACTAAGATCTCAAATTTTGCAGGGACAACGAGTTCATACTTTCTGGTTATCGGCCTGCGTCTGGGTCGCTCTCAAAATCCTTCAAAAGCATAAGACAGCTTCACAATGAAACAAGTAACTTGATTTTCTTGCTTGTAAAATTATTGGAGATGATTGCTGACTAGGCGTGCGCTCCAGTTAACATTTGGTCCCATCTTCTGGGTGGTCTTATGTTTGCCACGCTACCGATATTTGTATACATCACTATTCTGCCTCGATATGACAACGCCCGAACAGGAGATATCATTGTATTCTCGAAATTCTTTTTTGGAGTCGCTATTTGTTTTTTCCTGTCAGCATAGTAAGAATATGCCCCTTCAGTCATTGTTCGTGATCTGACGAATCATAGTTTCCATGTCGTAGCAAACCATAGTGAAAAAGTAGCAGCTTTTGGAAATCAACTTGACTATCTGGGCGTGGTAGTCCTGATGTGGGGATCGACTATCCCTTCTGTGTATTACGGATTCTATTGTAATGCGAGACTTCAGAAGATTTATTGGTCCGTGGTCAGTTTGGCGAAAAGATAAACTATAGTCTTTTGTTACGTACCTTCACCTTAACGATCACACCGCTGACGTGATACTCTTAGATCTCTATATTGGCAGTGGCATGTGTAGTAACAACACTAAACCCGAGATTCCGTCATCCCTCACTTTGAGCACATCGCGCGGCGATGTGCTCAGGGCTTGGTCTTTCGGCAATTGTATTTATCATACACGGCCTCATTATCTACGGTTGGGAGATCCAAACACAAAGAATGAGTCTGGCTTGGATGGGATTGATGGCTTTACTAAATCTGATTGGCGCTGCAATTTATGCTTCTCGACTAAGTGCCCTTTTGTTCTTGACACTAACAAGTATTAATCGTGTTTCAGATTCCCGAAAGATGGTATCCCATGACACATGATATTTTTGGTACGAGCCATCAGATTCTTCATTTCATGGTGATTTTTGCGGGTCTAGCACATATGGTTGGTTTACTAAAGGCTTTCGGTCACTTGCATAGCCAGCAGAGCCCTTGTCCATAGATGGTGCTACAAGAAAGTCTGTCGTTGAAATAAGAACTGGATGTGTTACACGTAGCCAATGAGATGAAGCTGCTCTTTTGTCATTTTTGCGACCGTGCCTAGATAACAATGCATTATTCCAATCTAGACGTGTATAGGAGAATGACCACGTCTCTTATAACAACCGAGTCGCTCTACAAAAGGAGAGAACAAGTACTTGAACCCAGACCGTCTAAATTTTTAGATAACACCAGGAATAAATCTTTTGGTTCGCTTGTGGTATGCTTCCCAGTCCGACCCAAAGGTGTTCTTCAAGATGGCCTCCTCGCTTCTGACTCTCATTCCCAAAGCCCCAAGAGCAGCAGCTAAAACAAACCCCTGCACAAGTTGTAAAGCCAGCTCAACCTTATTTCCACCGACCAAGCTGTTCGACAGCCAGCAAGCAACCGCACCGTCTTTTCTGTAAATCAATGCGATATTGGCACACAGAATCGCAAAGTTGGCGGCGTAGGATGGTTGTTGGACCCAGCTGTATATTCCCCCAGTGACGAGCTTTTTTGGTGCAGTAAGATGCAGGTTCGAGTTGGCATGTGAACCAAGTTGGGTAAAGCATTGAACCAGAACGTATCCCGACGCAAATACAAGCGTTACATAGCTTCTCGTCTGAGGATTCCAGGTGAATAGTTCAGGGGACAGGTTCGAAGCATTCGGACAGATGAAGAAATAGGTTTCGGGGTATGAGAAGGCGACCAGAGCGTGGTAGTTCCCAAGGAAGAAAGCGACCGCGCCTAGAGAGTAGCTTGCGATGACCTTATTCGCATATCTATCGCGCTCGCTCTCTGCGAAGATCTCGGGACGAAACGATGCGGTAAAGCAAGATGTAGTAATGTAGGTCGTCGTAAGAATGCAAATCGAGAGAGAAAGGGACGCACAAATATATGTAAGACTTGATAATCGTGACATCGCGTCTTAAGCGATCTCAAAAGGGGGGATGTTTAGAGTTGTCTAGTTCAAAGTTTAAACTTGACCCCACTTGTTGGGACAGTTATGAAAGTGAAGTGAAGAGGATTTCCTGACTCGATTCACTCTCGGCGGCAGAATTTCTGTACGGTGACCTATTTTGGTGAGAGACTTTAACCTTGTCAGGTTGGTTGGGACTCGTTGCTTCTAAGCTACTTGTAAAGGCAATATCAACCTCAAGAAGTCTATCTATGATTATTACCAATGTACTTGACAAACAGTATGTACAGTTATATTTCAGGCCAATCCCTTTAGTGGCAATTGAATTGTCAGAGTATATAATTGTTGTTTGCTGCAAGTGAAAAACAATTCTCCCTTGCAGAAGAGGTCACGGGTCGCCGCCCCACCAAAAAGGCCCGCCCGCCTTTTCTGCTCCCCGCGCTGTCTATTGCCATCAAAACAAACAACTCCAACTCTCGCAACTCCTCACCTCCACAACGCAACCCTAGAAACACACGAACAACGCAATACCTGCCATTCAAAATGTCCGCACCAGCAGAAAAAAACGACGCCAAAGGAAAGGGCAAGGACACCGAGCCAGAGAACACCGACGTTACTATGGAAGGTGAAGACAGCTCCAGCGACGAGGAGATTGTTGAGGTAAGCTACACCCCCTTAGAAGGTCTATATCTTGAGGCATTGGCTAATAAATACAATAGGGCGAGCCAACTGGTAATTGATTCCCTACTGTGATGCTGCGAAACTTTTGGGACCTTCACTTACAAAGTGTTTAGTTGACGAGCCTGATGAGGATAACATGGAGGAGATCGATACCGAGAACATTCTCCCAAGCCGCACCCGTCGCCGCAACATCGATTTCGCCAAGGCGGCCCAAGAGGATGGAGGAGCTGACGACGAGGACGAGGAAGAAGACGGTGATTTTGAGGAGACCAACGAGCCAATGGAGGACTAGAAATTTCAGTCGATTTACATCATGTTCTGTTTGGCTATGCGAACTCTGGATTCCCCCTTTCAACTTCCTCCCGCAGATCATCTTTGATCAATCTCGCACATTTGTTGGAGGTCGTTGGCTTTGACAAACAAAACGGACATGAAAAGTTCTCAAGATCGAATGGATACTCTTTGTTTCTTGTCTGCCGTTTTCTTTTCTTCATGGATTGCATTGGCCGGTAGCTTCTTATTTCTTCGGGGGGTGAAAAATACAAAAAGTTCATGTCTACAATGCGGGGGTATGGAACTATGGCAGATGATTTGATGAGAATTTGGGGCGTAGCTTGGAAGGTCCTTACATAGGACCATCATTACTGTAGACGCAGTGAAATACAGCAAGGAACCAAATACCCAGAATGAAACAATATCTCACCTCTTGGATCGCGGTACTTGTAGCTTGACGGAATCTATTGACGTTTGTCAATTCAGAACACCCAAAAGCGCTTGACACTGAACTTTTAAAAGCAACTGGATTTTAATTTCCAAAAGTCAACATTCTAATATTGTAACATCATAACACTGTGAACAATGTGAAGCGTATAAACTAGAAACTCGCGATTGCAATTAATATATCCCGTCGCCACCTCAACTCACCCGTCACAAAGCGCAACAAACCATCAATAGTCTCAATCACCCTTTGAACACCTATCCTCCGCCCATCAGCCTCCCAACAGCCCTCAGCTAACACATTCCAAACATCATCCAGGAACCCATCACCCTCGCACCTCACCACAACTTTGTTTCGTCCCAGGTACTATAAATCAGTGCCATGTGGTTGGGCTCCCTCACCAAGCGACAACACCACCACCACCAAAAAACTTGACCCGAGCTTTCGATTCGCGACATCCACAGTAGACATCCGAAGCAACAAACGAGAAAAAAAAAAAGTTCACCTACGCAACACAATCATCGCCTAAAAACCGCGGCGTATACACTTAAGGGGTGCAAATCATGGCTTCTAGGTAGCTATCCCCATTCCAATATTCCTCCTTCCTAGCACAATATGCCATGCTGCGCGCGCAGCCCTCGAGGTCCAAACTGACGTACGCACCCAGATTCGGCGGCTCGCGCGATCCCCGGAGCGCCCTATTCGAAGGATATAACGCAGGCGGTGCGCAGAAGACGGCGAGGAATGGGAGTACGAGTCCCGGGGGTGGATATGGGTATCCTTCAAGTAATNGGAGCGCCCTATTCGAAGGATATAACGCAGGCGGTGCGCAGAAGACGGCGAGGAATGGGAGTACGAGTCCCGGGGGTGGATATGGGTATCCTTCAAGTAATGGGAATGGATCGGGGGGCTTAGGGGTTGGAGGGCAGAGTTATAGACCTGCGACGCCGAATTCGAGGTATGGTTCTGTTCTTCTGCGGATGAAAGGATTGGGAGGAGGGCAAGAGAAAGGGGAAGGAGAGTTTTATCTTGGGGAGGAATACTAATTCGAGTGATACAGAGGACAATATAGTAATGCCGTCCTCGACGAACTGGAATCCCAAAACGACCACCAGATATCCGGCATGCTAGGCAAGGTCTCCATGTTAAAAGATGTATTTCTCCCTCTCTTATACCCATTCCGGCTCCGACCCTTTCACAATTTCTCCTTTTACTAACAAAGTATCCAGATGGCGATTCAAATCGGCGACTCAACACGCGAATCCAGCGCCATGATCGAGAAAATGAACGATTCCTTCGACAACACTCGCGTGCATCTCCGAGGGACGATGAACCGGATGTTGCTCATGGCTGAGCGAACGGGGGTGAGTTGGAAAGTGTGGTTGCTGTTTTTCGCCGCGGTCGGGGCCTTGTTTTTCTACGTTTGGGTCTTTTGATCTGATTCGAGGAACGGGCATGAGGTTTGGAAAAGTTTGGAGATAGGGCGGAATTGAAACGAGAGAGATGGGAAAGGCATTTGCAAGACTTGGGCGTTTGGACGGGTTTGGGAGGGTCACTGCCACTGCTTGTATTATAAGGGTCTGCTTTTGCGAAATTGCGAGATGATGTGTTGATATATGGATTACTTGCTGCTTGCGAGATTAGTGGGTTTTTTTTGCATAGGAATGAGCTAAAGATAATGGGACAACGTTTGGTTGAATAGAGACGCTGAGACGTTGAGACGATGGCCAATCGATATATCAGAAAACGGCTCAACAGCCAATAAACAGCAAGCAATTTCGAATCGATACCTTTTGCTTCGTACATATACTTCATTTTTTTTACTAGTTACAGGCTCTTCTGAGCACGCCAGGGCTTGAGAAGATACAGATTCCACGTCCATGAATGACTTCAAAAGACAACAATACCATCGGTGTTTGGTTTCCTTCAACATGTGGAAAGCTCATGGTCCTCTTCGAAGACGTCTAGTAGAGATCTGCTGTGGACTGCTCCCAAAATGACTGCTATTATTTGAGAGCATGCCACTCAAATCCATACTATTCTGGGTTCCGTCACTTCGAACCATACTTGACTGGGTTTGACCGTTCGGGGGCAGTGGGTTCTCGTCCAAACTCTCTTCATCTTCGCTTGAGCTGCTGCTGCTGCTAAGTTCTGCTTCTGTGTCAGTGTGCTCATAACCTCCTTCATCAGCATCTGGGATTTCTGCGTCGAGATCCGCGTCCATGTCCATATCTTCGTCACCGTGCATTGGCACCACTTCATGCACAAGATCCTCTTCCTGTAGCATTTGCGATGGATCTTCCCCATCAACGGTAGAATCTCCCTCGTCGCCAAACCTCGAAGCTCTTGGTTCTTCTCCACGCACCAAAGCCTCTCTGTAGACGTCGTCGGGTAGCCGCGCAGCTAATACTCCTCTGGGGACCTCCTCGATCATTTGACTCTCTTCTTCGTCGTCATCTTCGTCTTCTTCCTCCTCCGATTCGTCCGGGTCGTCATATGTCATGGCAGTTGCGTCTGCTTCCGGAATATCGTCGTCAAGATCTCTGACTTCCTCCTCGTCCTCTCCTTCCGCAGCCTCAGCCCGCAAAAGCGCATTAGTAGCTTCTGCTTCTGCCTCCGCTTCCGCCTCGGCAAGCTCCTGCGCAAGCTGTTCTCGTCTTAGCGCCTCTTGATGCTCCTCCATTTCTCTTTTTTCCTCGCGCAATTGGTACAGCGACTTGGGAATGCCAGGTGGTTTGATCCATGAATTGCCATAGTTTTGTATATTTTGTTTTCGTCGCTCGATGTATTCTTCGTCTAGTCGCAATCGCGCGAGCGGATGGCGGTGCAAGGCTTGTTGCCGTCTCTGGGGGTTGGATTGGGCATTTTGACCATGAGGAGATGCGCCAAGGTGATCAGAGGAATTGGGATCATGGCTGTGAGAGGAAATGGTAGAACTAGATGAGGTGTACCATAGTGTGTACGACTGCACGGCTTCGTTAGCATGTAACCAACCGTAACATCAATTGAAGAGAGGAAAGGGACAAGAAACCTACATCTTGAGGAGCAAGGTTTGGAAGTGAAAGCATGGCGAGTATGGTATGGGTATATTATTGCTACAGTAGTGAGTATCAGTATCAAGAACCATTGACTTGCATTGAGTGGTGTGTACAGAGTAGTTGTGTTGTTGATGGTTCATGACCCATGCAACCACACCTGGGCACCGCACGGTGCCCGGAAAGCTGCAAGGCTAGCATCCTTGTGGGTAAGACGTGGGATCCCTGCATCCACGCTAAAGACGCTGCAAACCTTAAAATCTCAGCCTTGCCGAGAAAACTTTTCTGCCTCGGGGTCTTCCGCATCTCCTCTCCATCTCCACCATGAAATTTTCCGCACAATTCACCCGATGCGCCCCTCCGATTCGAGGTAAGGCCCATCATCACGCAGTAGTATCGTTCGATCCTTCTAACTTTTAACGATTTGTAGCAGAGTTTGGATAGGCAGGATCTGCACTGTCTTTCCCTTGCAACAGGCGATCTTCAATTGGCGAAGTTGACCCGCCGGCATCCAAAAATGACTGGATCCAGGATGCAATTAACAAAACCACCTGGTGCCACCATCATTCGAGACTTGTCCCGCGACAGTACTGGCATTGCAGTAGCGGACCGGATTTTTTCCTTTTTTCTAAAAAAGAACATTGATCACTCAGAATTCAAAAGGGTCATCTTTACCCAGACCATTTACGAGTACCAGAATCTTCTGCAATCTAGAACATCCCACTTCCACCTCCAGCATACGAATATGCACATATCGCCAAAAAGCGACTTAGAGGCCCAAGGTGTTTCGAGGCTCGACTTTGGAAATGTCGCAAGTGCTATTCAGAGGCCCCGAATTAAGGCTAACGCTCTTTCAAATCCACTTTTACTTCCATTTTGAACGTACTGCAGTACAAGTTCTGAAGTAAGATTACCTTATAAGGAAAGCGTTCAACAAGCAGTAGCAAGGGCAACTCCAGGGGGGTTCTAGTGTGGCCAAAGCTAAAAGTACTCACAGCACTCTTTAGGTCTCCATTTCAAGCTTTAGCGGCAACTTCATGCTCACCATATGGAGCCAAAAGACGCTCCTCTTCTGCGGGATCCCACTCCTTTTCTTGGGCACAGACATCAGAGCATCCTGTCGCGGATCGCGATGTCTCGTCGGGATGATTACCTTTTTTGGACTATGAAAAACAAGCGATAATACAGTAGTACCCCTTGTTTGTTTTCCGGGAAAGGTTGACATGGACCATTTGTTACATCTCGACTCGAATATACCAAAGGTCAATTTACTGTACTTACAATGCTGCCTTTTAATTGGAAGTTTCCGCTAAAGGGCGGGTTTCAGAGGGCCGAGGGTCTTAATAAAACACTCCCGCTCTTCATCTGAGAATACCCTTTTTCCGGAAACAAGGCAATAGGAGGCTATAGATGAGAGATGATAGAGATGGTTCAACCACCATCTGAGGATTTTTTGTTAATCCAACCAACAGCAACCATTTTGTCTGATTTCCCGCTTCATTTTCTTCCACAGGGTTCATTTGCGACACCACTACCAGTATCGCCGGCTGTTCCCTAGTTCCACTGTACCAGGCAGCTTACTTTCCTACATCACCCGAAAGATTTGGTCAGCGAGGGTAACTCCGGGAGAAAAACCCGCCCTAGAGCCCCCATCCTCTGCAGTCACGGGTCTTTTTTTTTCAGGTGTGGCCTCCGAAACATGCATTTCAGATGCAAAATCCAATTGTGACTCCGAGTGAGCTTTTGACGTGGGGCGTGGCTCCAGATTGATGGTTTTTATCGACCAGGGTGTACCCCTCTTCCAAAAAACAGCTTGCTTGGAGGATCTAATCATCCTATCTGGCCGTTTTGATTGGTCCAACGGGGGAGCTTCTCCCAGCATGTGTGTCAGTCATTTCGTCGTCTAAGACTCTAAGCTGCGGGGACCCCTGAGCTCTGCCAAAGCGCCTGCAGCAAAATAATTTTTCTCGGTGGTCGCAATGTGCCCCTCCACAGCAGTTGGAGCAGGGGTCGAAAAAAGGACCACTCGGAGGCCGCGCGAATCTCAGACGACCGTCCTACTGGCTTCCCATGGGCGAATCAAGGAAGTGCTTTAATAATACTGCCATCCCCTCCCGAATACAAAAGCCACCAGCTTGGGCGATATCGGCATCTCGCTTGCGCCAAGTCCATCTGGGCGGGTGTGAGTACTGGTACTGTGAATTGAGCAAGAGGAAGTTGAGGCTACCCAGCGGTATTCTCATTCGTCAGCAAGCAGCATTATTGTGCTGCACTATGACTTTGTATGCAAATCACAAGACTAGTGTAGGACAGGTTACATCTGAAGATGCAGATGGCCGTGATGATTTTGAGGTGTGGGGTGCTTGAGACACCATTTTGGTGCCATTTGATGAACCGGTCGGCTGTTGGCTGCCAGATGGTGCAAGCTTGCATTTTGACAAGTGTGGTCGCCAAATGGCATCCGTGAGACGGGTGATTTTGCCCTGGTGGCTGGTCAATAGAGAATCTGGTGGTTCCAGTTTCACCCCAAAAGTCTACGATGAAAAGCAACAGCGTGGGATGCTTATACTGGATTCCCTTATACTCATGGAAGAAGGGAAACACGAAGGAAAAAATGAATCAACTACAACCGCCCAGCAGATCAGCAATCAAACTTGCAATGACAGTAACCCAGCCCTTACGCAATTTCCGTTTCCATGATCATTGGGGTCATGTTATCCGAAAAGCGTCAAGCAATTGGAACAGTCAGAAAGTGGTGTCCGGTACAGGCCGATGGGAAGTGAGTACTCAGTACACTTGCAGACTAGCTCGGTTGTTATGCATCAAACAATCCCACGAGCGACTTGATCCGCTGTGCCCTTGACGATGATGAGCCCTTGGCCATCCACTCCACTAGCCTAGCTGGGGGTTACCGTGAAACAAGGCCTGCGAATAATGGAAGGGGAAATAAAAAAACATAAAAAGCTCCTCCACCCCCTCCGCATCCCCAATTTCACACCTTTTGCTCAACACCACTTCCACTTGCACCCATTGCCTCCCTCCTTCTATACTGCCATTGCGTGCTGTTGTGCTGTGCCCTGCCCCGCCGTTCTGAACGACCTCGCTGCAATCAAACAGCTGTTTTGTTGACCCTGAATTGTGAGTTTACGCTGTGATGCTTTCCCTCCTTTTTTCGCTCGCCCTCCCATGCCTCGATACCTATGACCCCGCCGATGCGATCGTTATCGCTCCCGCGGCCAGCAAATAGCGACCGACCAGCATCTTGTAACCTCCACGCACGACACGACCTCAAAGAGAGATGACGGGTCGATTTGTGCATTTCCTGGCATCTCCGTTTTCATCAAGCAGAAACGGAAGCAATTTTGGGGATTTTCGCAGCCGAATCCCGGTGCTAGAGGAGACGATGTTGTCACCATGGCTTCGTTCCGGGGTTCATCCAAGGGTGAAAGCTTGCAAGCGCACCCGCAGGCTCGCCCTCTCACACGCTCGCCTGCTCGCCTGCTCCTACCAACCCCTCCTCCCTCCTCTCTCCCCCTCCCGAATTCGCCTGCCCACGGACCAATAAAACGCCTCCCAAAGGGCCCTTCATACTTCACCCACATTCAGTCAACTAGACTTTTTTTCAACTTTTTCTTTGATCATTTGCTGACCACAATCACCTATCAAGACTCAACCCTCGCCTCAACGCTGCTGCGATCAATCAAAAATCAATACCTCTCTTTTGCGGACGGTACCCGACTACTCTGCACGAAACACCCTCCTTCATACCTTCACGCGAAGTATCCGTTTCTGAAATCGCCGCCACTTTGCCTGCTATGGCAAAAGTCGACGATTTCAACGATAGACAAGATCAAATCGACGCCGAGAATGAACCCTACCATCAGTATGAATATCAGACAGAGGAGAACGAGTCATGGGCTGGTGCCCTTCCCGTGAAGCAGTAAGTGATCTCTGCCTCATGCCATGGAACCCTGTGTCCAATGGAGCAGCGCTGACCCGAATCTTTAGAGGTCTTTACGATCCGGGCTTGGAAAAGGATGCTTGCGGTGTCGGATTTGCATGGTATTTCAATTCACTGGTGAACCTCTGCAAGGGTTGAGAGAACTAACTTGTATTTGTAGCAACATCAAGGGCAAACCTAGCCACAAGATTGTTAGCGATGGTATGGTCCTTTCTGGTTGTAGCTGGAAGCAAAACGCTAACACTGGTTGTCCACAGCTCGAAACCTTCTTTGTAATATGACTCATCGTGGTGCGGTGGGATCAGATGCACGAGACGGAGACGGAGCGGGTGTTATGACCTCTATTCCACACAAGTTTTTCATCAAGAATTTCGAGCGGGAAGAGGATATAAAGTTGCCTCCATTGGGTCAATATGCGGTGGGAAATCTGTTTTTCAAACCCGATGAGGAGACGTTGCAAGAATCAAAGAGACAATTGGAAGAGATCTCGGAGTCGTTGGGTTTGCGGGTATTGGGATGGCGAGAGCCTCCTAAAGATTCTACTCTTCTTGGTCCTGCTGCTGCCTCTCGTGAGCCTATTATCCTGCAGCCATTCGTTGTGCTAGCATCTTCGTATGGCCCTGGCAAGTCGCCAGAAACCACCGATCCAGATCATTTTGATTTCAAACATTTCGAGAGGCAACTCTACGTATTGCGAAAGCGTGCGACCCATACCATCGGACTCCACAACTGGTTCTACCTATGCTCTCTGTCTAACAAGAATATTGTTTACAAAGGTCAATTGGCCCCCATCCAGGTCTATCAGTACTATTATGATCTGGTAAATGCCGATTACGAGGCCCATTTTGCTCTTGTCCACTCCCGATTCTCAACTAACACTTTCCCTTCTTGGGATCGTGCTCAGCCTCTGCGCTGGGCAGCTCACAATGGTACGGAACCTCGTAAATTCTTATGCGTGTTCATGCACTAACACCGTAATTAGGTGAAATCAACACGCTTCGAGGTAACAAGAACTGGATGCGCGCGCGTGAAGGTGTCATGCAGTCTGACATATTTGGTGATGACATGGAATCCCTCTACCCAATCGTCGAAGATGGTGGCTCTGACTCGGCTGCTTTCGACAATGTACTCGAATTATTGACCATTAATGGAGTTTTGTCACTTCCTGAGGCCGTGATGCTCATGGTCCCAGAAGCATGGCAAGACAACTCGGCTATGGATCCTAAAAAAGCTGCATTCTACGAGTGGGCTGCTTGCAATATGGAGCCCTGGGATGGACCTGCTCTCTTCACATTCGCCGATGGAAGATACTGCGGTGCGAATCTCGACAGAAATGGTCTTCGTCCTTGTAGATACTATGTAATGGATGATGACAGGATCATTTGCGCATCTGAGGTCGGAACTATTTCCGTTGACCCCGAGCGAGTTATTCTCAAAGGGCGCCTGCAGCCCGGGAAAATGCTTCTCGTCGATACTCTAGCAGGTCGAATCATTGATGACGCTGAGCTCAAAAGTACCGTATCCAACCGTCACGATTTCAGATCCTGGATTGAAAAGGAATTGATAAGCCTTCCCAAAGTCCACGAAAAACTTATCAGCCGAGGCACTGTTGATCTTTCAGCAAAGCCTGATTCCGCCGCAATCCAGGAAGACGCCATGCTAAGAGCTTTCGGGTACTCATTTGAGCAAGTTAGTTTGCTACTTGCACCCATGGCTTCCGACGAGAAAGAGGCTCTCGGATCGATGGGAAATGATTCACCACTAGCATGTTTGGCACAAGCTCCTCGATTGCTTTACGAGTATTTCCGACAGCTCTTTGCTCAGGTCACAAATCCCCCAATTGACCCTATCAGAGAAGCTATTGTCATGTCGTTGGATTGCTACGTTGGACCCCAAGGCAATTTGCTGGAGATGGATGCTTCTCAGTGTAGCCGATTACATCTCCCAACTCCCGTTCTATCCATTCCGGAGCTCAATGCCTTGAAGAATATCAATCAGCTCCATTCATCATGGACCGTCAAGGTCATTGATCTGACATTTCCAAAATCTCAAGGGGTTCATGGTTATATCAACCATCTAGACAGCATTTGCGACCAAGCTACGGCTGCCATCGAAAACAAGGACCGAATCATTATTCTTTCTGACCGAGCCACATCGGCCGATCGTGTTCCTGTCTCTGCGCTTCTTGCGTCTGGTATGGTCCATCACCATCTCGTCAACAACAAGTGGCGATCTCATGCAGCTCTGGTCGTTGAGACCGCTGAAGCACGTGAAGTCCACCATATGTGTGTTTTGGTGGGCTACGGTGCGGATGCTGTCAATCCTTATCTCGCTATGGAATGTATCTTAAAGCTGAACCGGGAAGGTTTGATTCGAAAGAAACTCACTGATGAGACTCTCATCCGCAACTATAAATACTCCGCCGATGGAGGCATTCTCAAGGTTATGAGTAAGATGGGAATTTCTACCCTGGCCAGTTACAAAGGTGCTCAGATTTTCGAAGCACTTGGTGTTGATGACACCGTAGTTGACCGCTGTTTCAAGGGAACTGCAACCAGAATTAAGGGTATCACTTTCGAGCAAATTGCCGAGGATGCGTTCCGATTCCACGAGAAGGGTTTCCCATCCCGATATACCGTCAGCGTTCCGGGTCTGGTTGAATCTGGCGAGTACCACTGGCGTGATGGTGGAGAACCACACATTAATGACCCCACCTCAATTGCCAATATTCAAGATGCCGTACGAACCAAGAACGATAAGTCTTATGAAGCATACTCACTCTCCGAGTATGAACAAATCAAGGCATGTACCCTCCGTGGTCTGCTTGACTTCAAGTTCGAAGAAGCAAATCCAGTACCAATTGACCAGGTTGAGCCTTGGACAGAAATTGTACGAAGATTCTGTACTGGAGCTATGTCTTACGGTTCCATCTCGATGGAATCCCACTCCACCATTGCCATCGCCATGAACCGCCTCGGTGGAAAGTCCAACACAGGTGAAGGTGGTGAGGATCCAGAGCGTTCCGAGAGGATGGCAAATGGAGATACCATGCGTTCTGCTATCAAACAAATTGCTTCAGGTCGATTTGGTGTTACCTCAAACTACCTTGCTGATTCCGATGAGTTGCAAATCAAGATGGCTCAAGGTGCCAAACCCGGAGAGGGTGGAGAGCTTCCGGGACACAAAGTCTCAAAGTCCATTGCCCGAACTCGTCACTCTACTCCTGGTGTCGGTCTTATCTCACCTCCACCCCACCACGACATTTATTCCATTGAGGATCTGAAGCAGTTGATCTATGATCTCAAGTGTTCTAACCCACGTGCCAGAGTATCTGTCAAGCTTGTCTCGGAGACTGGTGTTGGTATCGTTGCTTCTGGAGTGGCCAAGGCAAAGGCCGATCACATCTTGATCTCTGGTCACGATGGTGGAACCGGTGCTTCTCGATGGACTGGCATTAAGTATGCTGGTCTTCCTTGGGAACTTGGTCTTGCTGAAACCCACCAAACTTTGGTTCTGAATGATCTTCGAGGACGTGTTGTTGTGCAGACTGATGGTCAACTTCGTACTGGTAGAGACGTTGCAATTGCTTGTCTGCTTGGTGCTGAAGAATGGGGCTTCGCCACTACCCCTCTCATTGCCATGGGCTGTATCCTTATGCGCAAGTGTCACTTAAATACGTGCCCTGTTGGTATCGCCACTCAAGATCCTGAGCTACGAAAGAAGTTTCAGGGAACACCTGAGCATGTCATCAACTTCTTCTATTATATTGCCAATGAACTCAGAGCAATCATGGCACAACTCGGATTCCGAACTATCAATGAGATGGTGGGCCATGCCGAGTGTTTACGAGTCCGTGAAGACTTGCGTACCCCAAAGACTCAAAACATCGACTTATCGTTGATTCTCACTCCAGCACACAAGCTGAGACCCGGAGTAGCTACATTTAACGTCCGCAAGCAAGACCACCGCCTCTACGTCCGATTGGATAACAAGCTCATCTCAGAAGCCGAGTTGACTCTTGACAAGGGCTTGCCCTCCAGGATTGAGTGCGACATCGTCAATACTGATCGTGCTATGGGCACTTCACTCTCTTACCAAATTTCCAAGCGATATGGTGAAAAGGGTCTCCCAATGGACACTGTTCATGTCAATATCAAGGGTTCAGCCGGTCAATCTTTCGGTGCATTCTGTGCTCCTGGTGTCACGTTGGAGCTAGAAGGTGATGCCAATGATTATGTCGGGAAGGGTCTGTCTGGTGGGCGCCTAATTGTGTACCCTCCTCGGGCTGCTGTATTCAAGGCCGAAGAGAATGTGATAGTTGGAAACGTCTGTCTATACGGTGCTACCAGTGGTACCTGTTTCTTCCGCGGTATTGCTGCTGAGCGATTTGCTGTCAGAAACTCCGGTGCAACTGCTGTCGTCGAGGGTGTTGGAGACCATGGGTGCGAGTACATGACAGGAGGTCGTGTGCTTGTTCTTGGAAGCACGGGTCGCAATTTTGCTGCCGGTATGTCCGGTGGTATTGCCTACATCCTCGACATCCAACAGGATTTCATGTCAAAGCTGAATCCTGAAATGGTTGAAGCATCTGGCCTGGATGACCCAGAGGAAATCGCCTATGTTCGCAGCTTGATCGAAGACCACCACCATTACACTGGCTCAGAGCTCGCCGCTCGTATTTTGCTGGACTTCAACCGAGCTTTGCCTCGATTTGTCAAGGTCTTGCCTGTTGATTACAAGCGCATTTTGGAGGAAGAAAAGATAAAGGCAGCTGAAGCAAGGCGTGCCAAGTACGCACTTCCAATACTCCCAGGACACCAAGCCCGCGACGCACATGTTCACAAAGCGAAGAAGAAGTCTGATCTTGTAGACATCGAGGAGTCTATTGGGGATGCAGCAGTCGAAAAGAAACGATCCCTCGTCTTGGACAAGACCAAGGGATTCATGAAATATCAACGACGATCCGAGAAATACCGCTCTGCAAAGACTCGAACAAAGGATTGGGCTGAGCTTTCCAAGCGACTTGATGAAGACGAACTCAAATACCAGGCCGCTCGTTGTATGGATTGTGGTGTTCCCTTCTGTCAATCTGACTCCGGATGTCCAATTTCCAATATCATTCCCAAATGGAACGAATTAATTTTCCAAGGTCAATGGAGAGATGCTTTGAACCGTTTGCTAATGACCAACAACTTCCCCGAGTTCACTGGTCGTGTTTGCCCGGCACCATGCGAAGGAGCTTGTGTTCTTGGTATCAACGAGGATCCCGTGGGAATCAAGTCCATTGAATGTGCTATAATCGATCGCGGATTTGACATGGGATGGATGATTCCACAACCTCCAAAGGTTCGAACGGGCAAGACTGTCGCCATCATTGGTTCTGGCCCTGCTGGCCTAGCATGTGCCGATCAACTGAACAAAGCTGGACACCAAGTCACAGTGTACGAGCGAGCTGACCGTGCCGGTGGTTTACTCATGTATGGTATCCCTAATATGAAACTTGACAAGAAGATTGTCAAGCGTCGTACCGACTTCATGGAAGCTGAGGGAATCATCTTCAAGACCGGAGTTGCAATTGGAGAAGACATTACTCTCACTGATCTTAAGGCGGAGAATGACGCCGTGGTCATTGCTACTGGTGCCACTGTTGCTCGAGACCTACCCATCAAGAACCGTAACCTCGAGGGCATTCACTTCGCTATGCAATTCTTGCACAAGAACACAAAATCTCTTCTTGACTCCGAGCTTCAGGACGGTGAGTACATCTCAGCCAAGGGCAAGAACGTTGTCGTCATTGGAGGTGGAGATACTGGAAATGATTGTATTGGCACATCTGTTCGTCATGGCGCCAAGTCTGTCACCAACTTTGAGTTGCTTCCTCAGCCACCGAATGAGCGTGCTCGCGACAATCCATGGCCACAATGGCCACGTATCTATCGCATTGATTACGGACACACTGAAGTCAAGCAACACATGGGTCAAGACCCTCGTGAATTCTGTGTCATGTCTGAGGAGTTTGTCGATGATGGTAGCGGAAAAGTGAAGGGCATCAACACCATTCGCGTTGAGTGGACCAAGTCTTCATCTGGTGGTTGGGACATGAAGAAAATTGAAGGGTCGCAGCAATTCTTCCCAGCTGAGCTCGTACTGCTGTCGATGGGTTTCTTGGGTCCAGAGGATCGTGTTCTAGGTGATGAGGTGGAGAAGGATGGTCGCAAGAACGTCAAGACTCCGCCTGGAAAATACCACACCAATCTCGAGGGCGTTTTCGCTGCTGGTGATTGTCGCCGTGGTCAATCTCTGATCGTCTGGGGTATCAACGAAGGACGACAGTCTGCCCGCGAGGTCGACATGTACCTCGAGGGATCTACTAGTCTCCCCGTCACTGGTGGAATTGTCAAGCGCACTGCGGAGCAGATTCTTGGGCCTAAGAAGCATGCTACACGAACCCCCGCCCAAGTTGAACTAGCAGTGGCTTGAGAACGAAAAGATGATGACGATTTTTTGGAAAAAGGTCTTTGATGATATGAAAAAAAAAGACGTGGTTGTGGCGCGTTGTACGAAAGAAAATGGTAGCTAGCATTGATCAAGCGGTGCATAACATGAAGCTTTTACGCTTCTTTTTTTCATGGGAGATACCAGTGGGACGCATGTATGTACAGTCTAGAGCGCGCTTTTTGGCTCTTTCTTCTTTGCTATTGGAAGGGTACTTTCTTCCTCTCTCTCTCTCTTTTTGCGATATCACGGTTTTTTCTCTTCTTTCTTTTGGTAATGGGGATACCAGCGAGTTTCTTTCGGGAGTGGGGTGGATAGGGCGGCTTAGATTAGTCTAACGTAGCGAATAAGCGTTCTTTTGTACATAGCCTTCTTTTTTTTTTATCTAAGTATATATTTTGCGAACGTTTTTGAGTGTTTTTTGGAAGTGAAATTAAGTGATTATTTTATATAGGAGAATAGAATAGGTATAAAGTTATTAAAGGAGAAGAGGTAGTTTTTTTCTTGAATTTAATTATTCTAAGGGTTTAGAATAATACTACTACTACTAGAAATGAATTACCTATTACTACTCTGTAATGCTAGAGGAATTACTCCTACTGAACTCGCTTCCGCTACAAACCTTCACGCTCGGCATCGGCGAAGGAGAAACTAATTTATCCGACTGGCAACATCCTTGTTCTCTCCACTTGGCATTGTCCAACCCATAACTTTGATAGCAAGGCACGCTCCAACGATGTTTCCTTGCAGATAGCAAAGCGATGGGACGACATTTTTTCACAAGCCCCTCCTGTCGCTAGATTGGTTGCATCTCTTTCACTCGCTTGCTTTGTTTAGATAATTGTCTCCACTCTCCCATCAACAACTCACCTGCACCCCTCTATCGTGAAACGTCGTACGAGCTTCTTGCGCCTTCCCTCCAATCGAAATCGCACTCTACATTGTACTTCCTCCTGCGAAACCGAAGTCATCGGAACGGAAGAACCACAACCTGAAAGCTCCATAGGCTTACGAGGAAAACTCGCCCCAACATGCGTTTCGGAAAGAAGTTACGGAATTCGGTCTTCGAGCCATGGAAAGATCAATACATAGACTATGCGAAACTCAAGAGCATGTTGCGGGAGGACGAGGATGACCCAACCTGGACTGAAGACGATGAGAACAAGTTCTGCGACGAAATGCTGAATGTGCAATTGGAAAAGGTGGCCGCCTTCCAAGCGTCGACCTTCACGGCTCTGGAGGAGCGAGCAACGAAGTGCGGGGAGAAACTCAGAGACCTTGCTTCGGAGGAAGAGGCTTCTAAATCGGATGCCATAGCGGGAAAATTCAAGGCGATCGAGGATGAATTGGACAAGATTACGAACGAGACGAAGGAACTGAAGAAGTACAGCAGTATCAACTATACTGGGTTTCTGAAGATTGTTAAGAAGCATGATCGCAAGAGAGGAAATAATTACAAGATCAGACCCATGGTACAGCTCAGATTGTCGAACCGCCCTTTCAATTCAGAATCAAGCTATGCCCCTCTGCTCAATAAGCTATCTATGATGTTCTATGTTGTGCGACAACAACTGGACGAGAGCCCTGCTGATCCTCTGGAAACCGATGAGGCCTTATCGCAGACTCAAAACGGAGAGAAATATGTGGCATACAAATGTGAGTATTCCTTGGCCTTCTTGTTCTTATTTAGCTGACGATTGATATAGTTTGGGTCCATATGGATAATCTCCTGGAGGTCAGAACCTTTATTTTACGCCGACTTCCTGTTCTCGTTTACAGCGAGCAGTCTTCGAAAGTCATTGATGCTCAAGGAGACCCCACCCTCAACTCCCTGTATTTCGATAACCCAGATTTCGCATTATATAACCAGAAGGTTGATCGACAAATCGACGCTGCATCGATTCGCATAAGGTGGGCAGGTCAACTGAACTCTGGCCCTGAACTGGTTATCGAGCAAAAGATTTTGCATCAGAATGGTAGTAGTGAAGAGAGACGCTTTCCAATCAAGGAGAAGTACATCCAGCCTTTCATCAAGGGAGAATACAAGATGGAAAAGAGCATTCAGAAGATGGAACGACAAGGTCACCCTGCAGCAAAGGTTGAGGAGTTCAGAAACACGGTGGAGAGCATACAAAATTTTGTCCTGGAGAATGATCTTCAGCCAGTCCTACGAGCAAACTACACCAGAACCGCTTTCCAAAAGCCACAGGACGACAAAGTCAGAATTTCTATCGACACCAACCTGGCTTTCATCCGAGAGGATTCCATAGATCCTGACCGACCATGCAGACGTCCTGGAAACTGGCATAGACTTGATATTGATAACAGCGCCATGGAATATCCTTTTCCTAACATCAACCAGGGCGAGCTATCCCGATTTCCATATGCAATTCTAGAGATCAAGGTTAAAGAGGAAGGCATCAAAAAGCATCCACAATGGGTTGAGGATCTCATCTCTTCCCATCTTGTTCACAAGGCATCTCGGTTCTCCAAATTTGTTCATGGGGTAGCGTCATTGTTTGAAGACAATGTCAACAACCTTCCTTTCTGGCTGAGTGAAGTCGAAACGGATATCCGAAAGGACCCTCAAGCCGCATTTGAGGAAGAGGAGCAAAGAAAAGCACGTAAGGCAGAGGATGAACAAGTCGTTGGCAGCTTTCTGGGAGGAACCTCTCGCCCGAGTGCTAGTTTCAAGGCTGCTGTCTCGCCCTTGGGAAAGTCTTACATGCAAGATAGAATGGCAGCAGAAGAGCGTGCGGAGGCCTCCGGGAGACGTTCTGAGTTTGGCAATACGAAGGTAGCAAATGATGGTGTCTTTGATGATGCTGGCGAAGGTTCAAGCTCTCGTGGTGGCGGCTATGGTACTCTTTCTTCAGTATTCCCATCCTTCTCGCTCTCAAGATATGCTCAAGCCCAGAGAGAAAAGAGCGTTGTGTTACCCCCTGGGGTAACGAAACCCATTCAACTCATCAAAGATTCTGGACCATTGAAGGTTGAACCCAAAGTCTGGTTAGCTAATGAACGAACGTATCTCAAATGGCAACACATCTGTTTCCTCCTGGGATCGTTTGCCATTGTTCTTTCCAACGCAGGCGCCCATGACAAGACGCGTCTTGCGATGGGGATCACGTATCTAATTGTCTCGATCTTTACTGCGGGGTGGGGATACTTTATGCATCGGACGCGGAGAGAGATGATTGTTGCGAGGAGTGGGAAGGATTTCGATAATATGATTGGGCCGATGATTGTTAGTTTTGCGCTGATTGTTGCGCTAATTCTTAATTTTGTTTTCAAAGTATGTTTCCCTTTCCCCTTTTTTGCTCCCTATTTTTGTTATTGGGACGAAGCACTGATAGTTTTGGATAGTGGCAAGAAGCTATGGCTAGGAGTCACGTTGAAGATCCTTCGAATTCGACCATGGTAATTGAGGGGGAGCAATGGAGAACGGAACTTTTGTGAAGATCGGTCAGGTATTGGGGTAGGTGGGATGGGAATAAATGGGGAAGTTGTATAAAAGAATGATGAGAAATCGGGACAACGTAATGAGGGGATCTTTGGGTGGATTGGGAAATTGCTACATTGGGTGAGATGGGTGGAATGAATAAATGGGGGTCGAGGGAGGGGGGGTTCTCTGTGTATATGAGAGAACGGGATTACATGTACCTTTAGAATGATTTTCTTTTGTTTTCTTGTATTTTGGCTCTTGATTGAACGTTCTTTTTTTCTCCTGCCCTTTTTGTTTTTGTGGGATTTGTGTCGTGCCTATTCCTTCCAGACGTCAGATTAGACCCTAGAAACGTGCACTCAATGTGGATACGATAACTGAGTGAGATGGAGGCTTAACCGCTTGGAGTGGCTGCTTAGGGCCTGTTTCCCGAGACGATATTGAGCCGCAATATCGTCGAATGGCATAGAAGTATTATGTGGGCCATATTTGGCTCTCCAAGACACCGTCCACGTATAGACGCCGAGTGCCCAGTAAACTCTCTTCCTAGCATCTTCTGAGGCACAATATTTCTCCTACTAAAAGACACGACGAAAGGACTTCTTGCTCAGACCAAGAGCCTGTTTTCCGACGATATTGAGCCTCAATATCCGGTGGGGGAAAAGTGATTGAAGTTCTATACTCAGTAATAGAGACCTTATTCAAAGTCCTTTGCGCACGTGAATTGCCCCCTCTTTTAACCCCTAGGCGTGCCTAGCCGAGCCATTCCCTTCTAAAGTACAGGCCCCCAGCGTCTATCAAACTTGGCTACAGGGGTCTTCTAGCCAATTAGGGCTTGAGGTTTAGTGCCCAGCCCTGTAGTGAAAGGATATATGACCGCGTTCTCCGTACTTGGTAAAAAGATAGTTGCTTATGTAGTGAAAAGACTGCTTACGAAGTCTCCCATCCCGGGGGACAAGATAAGTAGTCGTCTTGGCGCAGTCGATTTTGTGTGCATCTCTATTACATTCTAGTGCTAAGACTGCTACTTATCTTGTCTACCGGGAGCCTCCCTAGTGCTCCTACGTGCCTTCGTACTGTAAAAAGGCTTGCGAACCCTCCCTAGTAGTCCTGCCTACGGTAGTAAAAAGACTGTCTAGTGCTGTCGCTTACGCTATTTCTTGAGCCTCATTTTTTAACCTTATTTTAGCCTCTCCTTTCCGCTCCTCTCTCGAATCTACACTCTCATTATCCGCCCCTATCCACGTAAATAATATATTATCCTCTCGTTTGCTAGGCCAAAAGCCTGGCTCTCCTAATCCTTTCCAAAGGCCTAGGATAGGAGAGGACGGGAGATCTAGAATACTAGTTAGTAGATAGCCGAGAAAGAGGTACTAACCTAATTACTTCGTATCTTAAGGCTTTATCCCTTCCAGACGATATAGTTACAACAATTACTTGTGCTTGAAAGTGGAGTAAATAGGCCCATATTTACTACATATTCCCCGCAAAACAAAGTCGTTTAGCCAACCACGCCGCATTTCCAAGCATTTGGACCTCAATTTGACCCAGTATTATATCCACTTATATCCACTATCAAGCACAGGTAATTGTTGTAACTATGTTGTCTGGAATGGATATAGTAAAGAGGATTAAGCTTTAAGATTAGAGTAAGGGTAGTATTAAGGGTACGGTAGTACTCTAGTAGTAGTTAGGAATTTAACTTTATTCTTACCGAACGAGTAAGTCGGAATAACATCCAAACATGCGTTTTCTACTCAAGACACCTCGACAGTGGGCCGAAGGCGGCATTACAAGATTCAAAAAGCTTTGGTTAGGGGGGGTCTGTAATTCCATTTGCACTGTTTTGCCACCTAGAAGTGGAGAGTCTTACGGGATGTACGAAACATGACGCCACGAGCATGATACTTAGACAAGTTAATCATTTACCCAGCACTAATTTACGAAGTAATACGTGGTCCACCAGTTCGGTAGAATTCGGTGAGCGGATTTTCGGAGCATACATTGGTTCCAATGTTCCATCATGTACCTCCGAACAGTAACCCCTCGCTTCGCTATTGGCGTGCCAGGCCACCGGGGAACACCAAGCCGGAGCCAAAATCTGTGTCGGTGTTTTGTCCACAGCGAACAGGCGTGCGAGCTATGTCATTAGAGAAACCAGATGGACTGTATATAAAAGGCCTCGCTTTCCTACCACAACTGTTCGATTAAAACTTTCAAATATACAATTTGTTCTTGATTTGTGACAGCCATGGAGCCTACCTACAAGTTAAGTGCTGCGGTGAGGGTGGCAATACCATTCAGCATTGCTGTAAGTGTTGCACTGCTTTGTTTATATCTCATTGGTGGAATTCTCTAGCTTACACTTTTTCTCGACACAAATAGGCAGTTACCTTCCTCATAATAGGAATCATCCGAAGGATTTATTTTCACCCACTTTCTCACGTTCCTGGACCGCTACTTGCGAAAATCTCAAATGTATGTATTAGCCGTCGAAGATAATTAGTCACTTCCAACAGCATAAGGTCTCGGGGATTGTTTGGCGTGCAGCTTGAAAACATGTTATGCCAGAAATCCTAGAAGGGGTAATTGGTTTGCCCAATCTTTGTGAGAGTGGAGAACCAACGGGTTCAAATCAATCAACCGAGCTCGAAGCGTCCGGGTCACTATGCTGAGCCACAAGATCAAAATTCTTGCCGTATATACTCGTACAATAGAAGAGAGCGCTAACAGTACCTTTCTTAGTATCCCTACTCCCGCGACTTTTTATCCGGCCGCCAACCATGGCGTATGCTCGCGCTTCATGAGAAGTACGGGCCAGCAGTTCGCGTATCTCCCAATGAAGTCTCATTTGCCTCCGCCCAATCATGGCATGATATCTACGCTCCACGAAAGGGTGGGGAATTCCTCAAGAGCAACTGGTACGAAAATGGTTCCTTCGGCGGCCATGCGATTGTGAGTGTGCGCGATCCGGTAGAACATGCACAGATGAGAAAGTATCTTAGTCGTGCGTTCTCAGAGGCTAGTTTGAGAGACCAGGAGGATATGATTACCGATCTTATTGCAAAATACATTGACGGCGTGGGTAAGACTGCCAAAGCAGAGGGTGTTGTGAATTTGACTGATTGGCACAATTTCTTGACCTTTGACATTATTGGGTTATTAGCTTTTGGAAAATCATTTGGTGGTGTCGAATCTGGCAGGTTGGGTCCTACCTACTCCGCTAGATTATCTTTATTCTCGCAGGCATGTCTACAAACGCTTGATTTACTAATACGCTATCTAATTAGGCAAAGAACATTTTTGGTTATCAGATGGTAAAGCAGCCTCACTCCTTTGCCTTCCCCCGGACACAGCTAACAGCTTCTAGTTGTGGGCAGCATAGCACACGCAAATGTAATGGACACGCTAAAACGATTTCCCTGGCTTGGAGCCGTGTATCTAGCTTTCAATCAAGGCTGGTTAAAAGGGATTGCACGAGTTGCTGATAGACATATGAGCTATACGAAAAAGGTTATAGAGGAGTGAGTTTCTAGCCCGCCTTGATATTTTAAGAATACTTTCTCTGAGCAACCCATCTTCTCTTCAGTCGTATCAGCGAAAAGACCGACCGCAAAGACTTCATGCACTACCTTCTTCGCGACCACCCCCAGGACGATGACAGCGAAAGTTTCCATATGCAGATGTCAGGTCACGCAGCAGACTTGGTCGTGGCTGGCTCCGAAACTACCGCTACTACACTTAGTGTTGTTGTGCACTATCTCCTGGAAAAACCGGCTATCTTCAAGACCGTCACTGAGGAAATTCATGGTAGTTTCGAAAAAGAAGAAGATATCAATGCTACTACTGCCGCACCTCTCAAGTATCTTCACGCAGTCTGCCTAGAGGCACTGCGAATCTTCCCCCCTCTACCAATCGGTCCACCCCGGGATGCACCTCCAGAAGGTGCGGTGGTAGATGGAGTCAGCATTCCTGGAGGGACTCTTGTTTCCACAAACCCATGTGCCGCATCCATGTTTTCCAAAAACTTCCATAACCCATCTGAATTCATCCCCGAGCGCTGGCTGGGAGAGAACAAGGACGATATTCTGGAAGCCACTCAGCCCTTTAGCCTTGGAAAACGAGGTTGCATAGGACGCAATATGGCCTGGTTGGAGCTACATATTACGTTGGCCCGGCTGATCTTTAGGTATGAGATCGAAAGAGAAGGGCAGTTAGACTGGATTGAGGCGACTCCGATGCTTTTGTTTTGGCAGAAGCCTAACTTGATGGTTAGAGTGAAGGAAAGAATTAGAAAGTGAAGCTCCAACTGTACGTCGACGCAGAAAGTATAGTGTAGAATAATTTGAATAGCTCCTTAGACTCCATCTGGTTTACTTGTACATGAAATCACATTTTATTGATTTATATATTCTTATCCCTTCGATGCCAATGCTATACATGTACGAGTACGTCTGGGATTTTAGGTTTGCGATTTTCGAATTAAGCTATAATTTCCTAGAACAAGCATTTATTTAAGCATACTAGGACCAAACAGTCAAATTAAGGCTATTCCGAGAGATGTCTAAAAACAAGAAAGTGCTAACAAATCCAAGTCCCCGCTATCGCTCGAGTTTATATCTTCGTGAATACATTAGACTCGGTATTATAGGTAAGGTTACGAAGCCTAGAGTGTTTTAAAGGAGACTCAGATAGTACCTAGGGATAGTAGCAATTTCAGTCATATTCTAAAATTTTACTACTACATGTATACTACTCATTCATTTCGTCAGAGTTTTGCACATATATTTGATAGGCAAAAAACACTAGTAGCACTTTTGAGTTTTATGCGAGAATGGTAGTGTTTCTTTCGCCATGAATAAAAAGTGGTATTCAAGTTCAGGAGTATTCGCGTTTCTGTTAATTCACGTTCAAGACCTAGATAGTTGGCACCAGCCTCAGATATAAGGAATATCAACTGACAGTATATCTCTCCATAGCCTAGTTCAGTTTTGTGCTAGAATCGCACACATATTTGGAGAATACTAAGCTAAAATAACTGTGATCTTGCTATCATTCTTCCTAACACTACTACTACTACTATAATCACTACAGCAATAAAGTCTCTTGTTCACAATAACGAATCCAAAAAGATATTTGAACACAACACTCACGGCATATGAGTAGTAATTGGTCCATATTGCGCTTGTAATTGCTACTAATAGCCCGATTTACCTTCTCTATGCTATTGCTTAAGGTTGGCTGGACTCATTTCATTATAGTCAGTCCTCAAGCCACAAGCTTCTATATAGACTTAAATAAAGCTCCTAATTAGCTCTAAAATACTACCTAGCTAAAGACGACCTTGGAGCGTTATAATATAATAGATGATACTTAGTAAACACGCGGAAATAACCCTGCGTAATCTTATATACAAGAAACAGTATATTTTGTGCCATGCCCTACTAAGAGCAATTTTGGTATCAAATTCTAAAGTGTGGTCCAAAAGTATACTTGTAATTTCAATTCAATAGTTTAATTCTATAGAGTTAGCTACTATTTACTATTCATGATAAAGTTGTTACTTATATTACTTCCACCAGCTCTGCTAGAGCGAGAGAAGTTCGCTGTTCAATCTGTGCTCCCCTTGAATCAGTAAGCTTTACCTAAGAATTATAGATTGACTACTTCATTTTCCTTTTAATGGGAAGACAATAGTTGAAAGGGAGAGAAGAGGTGGTTGTTGTGGGTGTGATGGAACTAGGTATTGGTGGAAACGGCACAATGGTGGATGATTGGTGGTTTTGACCTGGCTTTTTTTGTCTTTTATACATTGACTTTTATGGAAAACTGGGTTACAGTCGTCCATCGGGAAATTCCATTTATTACTATCTGGTACTATTGTACCTATTAAGACCATATTATTGAATAGAGGAAACAGTGGAAACACCACTTAATGGGTTTCCAGATATTGAGGTATGAAATAACTACATACATGGGATATAAGTTTATTAAACCATCTCTACAGAGGTCAGTTACCTATGGTATTTTGTTTTTGTTACTGTAATGCATGTTATGTAAGCTTTTGTGTTACAGTATAGGATCAGCTGTGAATCTCATTTTCTTTCTAACCTCACAATCCCATCCAGCGAAGCTTCAACGCTCCAAAACCAGCTTTGTATCAGCGCCTTGTGGTAACTTTGCTGAATTTTCATCCTCTTCCGTTAAGAACGAACATTTACTTGGCATTTCGTGCAATTCTTCATTAAGATACGAGCGAGATCCAGACATTGCTGGCCCTGGGGTAACAAACATTGCTGGATGTAGAGAGCGCAAACAACTAACTTAATATAGGTTCTCCCGTTTCTATTATAAAGCTTGCCACATTCTCTACTCCTACTTCTATTGTTTTGGCTCTTAATTCTTGTTTTAATCAGCCTTTTTATAAAAATAGCTCTTTACATAAAAATAAGGGCTCCCTGGTATCATTGCCACACTGGCGGCTGCCTTCAGGGCGCTGCTCCCACTTGAGAACACAACAACATCTTTAAGCGCTAGATCGGTCGGAGACAAATTCAAGATTCGTGTCTCCCGGGTACTCGGATTCTCAGGTTCCCATGCTGCAGAAGACGCCGCCAAATCTTTGATGCCAGTCATCGACAATTTTCTTCTGAGCCTGAGCGACCAGCAACTTATCACAGGATTATTGATTATTATTCTTGCTTATCCCAAGTATGTGATATGTCGGTCGGTGAATAGATCAAATATCATCATGGTATCGCAGTTGTCGTTATTTTCTATGGTCACACACTTGGCCACTATGCAAGCAGTTAAGCAAACATTCCGGCATTTTCTAAAATTGGCCATAGTGAGGCTTGTCTTAATCTATTTGACGATAATTTTATGGCTCATTATTTACTTGCCGGAAGTGATGAAAGCGGGAGGGCCGGAGGCAGACTACTACTTCGCCTCTCTTCAAGTAGCCATACTTCTTCGCGGCTACTGGGGGATTTCTCTTTCTATATTTCTCGGGGAAGATATTCTGAGAGCCCGTGCTGCTGTGAGTCCAATGAATTGTGGGAATAAAATATATATGGAGGTCAAGCGAGCCAACTTTCTTAACGGCAGATCGCCTATTGCGAGCTCATAAGATGCTTTCTATCAAGTTTATATATGCGCGGGAAATACAACTGATATCGGAGTCTGGCGAGCGAACATCCCCAAATCTACTTCAGTATTGACGAAGCCATTTGGTATTCTTTCTGGAGCTTACCTACGCTCAGGGGTTTTCGGAAGGGTTCTTTTAAGCCTTGTTGCTGAGGTTATATTTCCCAAGGCGTACCTGGCATTTACCTGCACTTTCTTGGTTATTTTTGAGTTCATTATCCTTATTTTGAATGCATCCAACGCGAGTGTTAGTAACGGATGGGGTTTTGGACAACTTTTGCCCACATTCATGATAGTGCTTCCATTTTTCTCACTTGCAGGAACTGTCACTCGTAAGTATTAGGCACTTTCCAAAACCGGATACTGAGATTTCTTGCTAACAAACGTAAAGAAACAAGAGAGAAATTGCGTCTTGAACGAGCACTGCGACCATATGAAAGCCTTGCTGACCAAGGAGGGGCAGCAACTCCAGATAGAGCACCTTCAATTGGACTGATTGAGACCCTCCAACCCCATTATCGAGGGCCGATTCTGCCGACAAACCGAAATCCCACATGGTAGAGGTTATATAATCGTATCTTGCTTCGCTTTTCGAAAGTCCCACGAACGAAATATTCCGGCTTTAGTGGAGGGAATTAGGGGCCACAATCTGACTATCGCGATATATCCCACACCTTTTAAAGGGGACTTGTCACTCGTAGCTTAGATCCACCATGGGCGCGCGTACCTTAAGTACCCGCACAACTTCATTCCTTCATGTGGAATCACATCTTCAATATCACACACTTAACCTGATCACCAAGAATTTGAAATCAAGTACTGTACCATCTCAAAGTCTCTTTGTATTTACCTTTAGTCCTCCCATTCATATAGGAGGACACAAGTAAAAAATTTCTACCCAGTGTTCAAGAGCCAAAAATGGCTGTCTGGCTCTCACCGACAAATTTATTCCATCCTTAGCCCGCGAGACTTCCACCATCCCTACCTAACCCTAATAGCTTACACCTCTTATTTCAAATAACCTCCGAGAATCATATCCCTGAACTCGATATCTAAATGAAGAATTTACTGCCGAAAGTAAATTTACCGTCAAATCTCAACCCTTCATTCAACAATGTAAACTTTTCAGCCATGTTAAGCTTAAAGTGCTCTAAAATACGCAAAAGTCTTTCTGTCTTCTCTCAGATTGAGATTGTTTTCCATAGTAGTTCGCTCTCCCTTCGTCGCACCAGTCAGAGTATTCTGCGTTGTGAGAAGTGAAATTACCGGTTCGAGTAGAGATACATTGAACGGTATTTTTATATCCCAACTGGAGGCTGTATTGAAGTTCTTACTAATTATCTTCAACGAGGAACCATGATCACTGTTTTCATTCTTGCATTTCCACTTCTCTTAAGCATCATCGAATACTGCTCTTGCTTTGAATTTGAAAGATGACATTTCGAATTCCTCTTTAATCTGCTTCTATTTACCATACAAGCAAGCCAATGCCAAGCCAACCGAGACATACCACTCCCATGGATTCTCAAACATTACCCTATCAGCATACTCACGCTCAAGGGTACCTCCCTACCTAGTACCTTCACCAACCACCTCAAGACACAAGAGTCCATTCCTAAACTTAAGAAAGTACTAAACGACAGAGAAAACAAACATGCATGTAGCACCCTCGAACTCGGTCGCCTTGAATTTCCGCCAAGGCACCCTGTGAGTTCTCCATGTACCTAGCAATAGGAGAAGTAGAGACAAGTGTAATGATAGTGAAGTAGTTGTTTTTGTTGTTGACGAAACGATTGGAGGTGTGCGGGTACTGACGGTAGTCGTACAAGTGGGTTACCACTAATATGCGACTAAGCGAGCGGCATATATCGCAACACTATTCTTTGTTACTAAATTGCTTTCTATATCTTCAGTATCTGGGAAAAGGAAGAAAAGAAAAAAAAAGAAAAAAAAGAAAAAAAGTAGATCTACTCACGCTTCTTCATAACTCAAACATATCTATCCCGTTGTGTAATCTGTTTCTCCCTTTGCGACACCATTGTCTAAGCAGAATTGATTCCAGGCAAGCTTTACAATGTTCCTCCCAACACTAGTGCAACGCCCAGCGGATGTTATGCAATCACTGCAGCCATTGGTTCTGCTCGTCTTTATAGCATCGCATGCCTTTCGAGTGACTGCAGGCAATCCAAACCCTTTCTGATCTACGCATCTTGCGATGGCAGCCCCGTTGACTGCACCGTAGACACCAGTCGCCAATGTTGCGAGAACAAGGAGGTTTCGGAACTTCACGGTGTAAAAAGTCTTGGAAACGGCACTGTGTGTAGACAGAGGATGAAATAAAGTGTAAAGGTGCTCGGTGCTCGTGGTTGAGATAGGCGCTAGACTATCTCGTTGTGTTATATAGGCGGCAATCGGTCCGATGCGAGACAGGGCAAATACGATGCAAGATGTTTACGAGAAATAGACTCTGTCACCCAGTACGATGACGATCCCTCAGGCGAAAAGATAAAGGTAAGTTTTCCAGTGTGGCTATAATTCTAAGTCTAATACTGGGCTTATCCTTGTTTCTTTCTGCAAACTTCTAAGTAGGTGTGCAAATAAGTCTCCAAGGCGTAATTTACTCTCAGGTCGCCTATTTCTAGGGGCACAGGTTCGTCTATTGGTAAGACGTATTTATGAATTTGCGACCCTTTGTAAATGCTCTTCCAATTGTATAGTAGCACTCGTTCCGTTACGTATTTCAGCTTTACGCGTTTAAAACCAGAACAAAAACCCAAGAAAGGATGAGCGATCTAATAGGTGCTAGGAGTGTCTAGGTAGAAACGAGGATTAATACAAGCTCTAGTGGCGTCTCTAGTAATATCTGGATATCGAACTCGTCGACGTCACCAGGCACTAATATCTAAAGCCTTCCGAGGGTTTGTAAATTATATCAAATGCCTTGGGAAAGGGCTGGTAAGTGCTCGACTTGAGATCCCAGACTCGCAAGAGAATGGTGACATGGGTAAAAACACCACCTTTCAATTTCGTGAGATTGCGACTAACAAGAGGAGGAAGCATTCGATGGAGTCGTCATGTCTCTCAGATTCACGCCATTATTATTGTATGAGTTGATGGGTCAAGGAACACAAAAAAAACCACAATTTCTATAGACTTCAGACATCATCTCCTCACCCTACCAACTTGCAAATTCAAACAAGTCAACCCTCCATCAAGCATCCCCCATTCCACCCGCAAATCCGGGGAAGGAAACAACTATCTGACCAAAAACCTCAAAAGAGTGTCCGTAGCGTTTGAAATAAATCATAATTCAAAGAACAACCAATTCCAGCACACCCACCAGCCCCTCCTCTCCCAGACCAGCTCCCTTCCCCAATTAGAGTTCCCCCTCTAAATTCAAGCCTTCAAGGCTTCAAGACACATTCAACATTCGTTGCAGCAATTAACGGTATCAGCAGAACCGTAACTGCAGAACTCCTTTGGAGCTTCACATCTTCCGCCATTGAAACCTGGATTTCCTGGGCCTACATTAATGCAGCCTACTGCAGCTTGGACAGTCGCAGCTCCGATGAGCAAGGTTGTGAGGACGGTGATGATTTGCTTGGAGAAGAACATGTTTGCGAGTAGCAGACTTGGTAGTTAGATTGTTGGTATGTTGGTATATTAGTCGGGCGTAATATAGTAAATGAGATTGTACTGAGTGAGGTGGAGTTAAGTGAGACTGTACCAGTACTAAGTGAAGATGGAGTTGAGATAGGATAAGGGGAGTAGTTAAAAGGGTCGTCCCTTATATACTACAAATGTGTGCCCTGCACGTACCATTATGTTCGGCATAACTCGGACGTTATGGACGGAGAATACTTACTTTCCAGTTCTTATTAAAAAGTTAAAAGCAAGGTTCGACTCATAGGGGCTCACCTAAATCCAGGTAGTCGGACCGATTAAAATATAGGCGAAACTCGATACTAGGATACTCGCTACTACGGTACTCATTTTCGTTTTGGTATTATTCTAATTGCACTCTTTGACCTTCAAGAGTAGATGTGAGTTAATGAGTACTCCTGGGGTGTAGAGCCAGTAGAAGTAGAGTATTTTAGGCCCTGGTCTGTCAAATCTAGAGATCCCGCAGCTTTCCGTCTTCTAAAAATCCCAGATTTCTATGACCTACGTCTTTTTGTGGGTGCTCTTAAGATTTGTAGCTTGGAGGTGGATTACTTGCTATCCAATTAGAAGGCGTGGAATAAGTAAAAGTAGGCATAAAATAGAAAATAATTAGGTAGGAGTATAGATTCACTCACATACCGCAGGGCACCCTAGTAGCACCAATTACTCACATCTACTTCGTACTTTGTGGTGGTCAAAGAGTGTAATTAGAATAATACCAAAACGAAACCGAGTATCTCCTGCACCGCCCTGCGTAAGTCTTGACCAGGATTAAGCACCCTCGCGTAGAATTGTTTAACGCATAATCTCAAGTCAATTCTGACACCTTAGCACTGCCAAGCTATCAATTGCACTGAAATTCTGAGTTTTGGTAAGGAGAATAGATATGGTCACAAGACTAGAACGTGACTAGAATATAACTATACATTAAACGATTCTATACTAAATATTAATTAGAATTAGATAAAGAACTAAATATTTTTATATTAGAAGACGTTATAAATCTTAGTATAAATCTATATATTATTTTTCTACCTAGCATAGTACGTCCTTAACCTACTTTCGATTTACGCCGGATAGTATAGGAGATAGAACAATATCCCGAACTATATCTTTAGCCTTTTAAGTTATAACTTTTATTAGAAGTACTTAAGGGATCTTTAGCTCTTTTAGGTTCTAAGTAATTTACTATTCTAGAAATAGATAAATTTAGTAATCGATTTTTAATATTAGTAGTAAAGTTTTTTTAGCGTATAAGTAATAACGTTTATAATTTTATAAGAGGCTTAGCTAGCCGAGTTTAGTAAGAATTATTATTAAATAAAGAGTATATAAGGAAACTTTCTAATATAAATATAAATATAAGGGTTTACAACAACAACCTTTTTTCGAGATCAAATTTTTTGTTCTAAATCACTTGCTCTCACTTGCTTGTACTAAACAAGCCGATTACCCTCCATGGAGACCCCTCTAAGGAGGCCTCCGGCCTTACTGTCGCCTCTGAAAAGAGGTCCGGATAGGGGAGGAGCACGCCCAATCCCCCCCCTCCCGAATATACAACAACACTTCGTCCTAGCAACTGCCAAAGCCCTTGAACGTAGTTCTTTAGGCCAAACCTT